TGCGCGACAGTAGGCTCGCAGTAGGCCAGAGGAGAACTCTCCGCCTCTGTCCGAGTACAGACGCAGAACAGGGAAGTCCGAGCCAAAGCTCCGCCTGAGCAGGAGACGAGCCGCGCGGATCCAGTCGATCAGCACCTTAGTGACATCACCCTTGCTGCGAAAGGGGAAGACCGTGGTGTAACGCGAGTAGTCGTCAACAACGAGCAGGAAGTAGCGCTCGTGACCCTGTCCACGGACGCGGGCTGGGCCCCACACGTCCATGTGAAGCGTCTGCAACGGGGCCTCTGTCGGAGGAAACTGGGAGGAGTGAGGGGCAGCCCACTGGCGCCCCTCGACACATGGGACACAGATAGGGCCAGGGCCCTGAGGAAGGGGAGGTAGGGACCGGGGGAGACCAGACACAAGAAGACGGGAGGCCATGCCTCTGAGCCGAAGCAGAGAGGGGTGACCAAGACGGTGGTGCCAGAGGAGAGTCTCATGAGACAAGAGACGACACGAACAGGGGGCAGACTCAGGACCAGACCTAGACGCTGCAGCAAACACCTGACCGGACGAAGCGACTCTACCAGACTCAGTAACGGGAGGAGACGCAGTGGTCAGTGTGTACAGGCTCGACCCCGGCTGACCGGTAAACGTAGCCAGGTGCCGGCCTATGCTAGCCTCTGTACAGTGCGTCACCCGCTGACGCGCAGGAGTGAACTGGTGTACTCCCCCATCCTGTAGGTCACCACCACTCACCAGGTTCGTCGGGAATGAGGGGAGGTAGAGACCAGACAGGGTGCCAGAGGGAGCCGCCGGACACGGGAGGACTGTGGAGAAGCGAGACAGCACACGACCCCCAAAGGGTCAGCCAGAGACACCGCAACTGGCCGACTAAGCGGCGTGAGTGTGGTGCGGTCCCGAAAGAAGGAGCGAGACGCCCCATAGTCAAGGGTGAAGGTGAGGGAGGCCAAAGCCGACGTAGTACCTGAGAGCGCAGACTCACGAGTACCTGAGGACGCAGACACACTAGCACCTAGAGCAGCAGCGTCGCAAGCACCTAGGGCAGCAGCCTCAATGCCCGGATCAGGCGGGAAACAGCGGTAGCAGTCACCCTCATCACTATGAGACACATCATACATGGCAGAGAGAATAGCATCAAAGTCAAGATCAAAGATGGCAACACCCGCCCTAGACAGCTCGCCCCAAAGAGGAATCTCTGAGGCCTCCGGGAACTGGTGACGCCACGCGTCCGTCAGGCGGCCAAAGCAGCGTTGGGTGGGGTGCGGACCCCCACACTGCTCACCCGCACGGTCGCTGGTGCGCAGGACGTAGGTGCACGGACCAAAACCCCCACCCCGCTGGCGTGCTGTGTACCACTCACGGAGCTGCTGAGGGGACAGGGTCTCACGAGCGCGCTGCTGCTGCTGGCGCGCGCCACTACCGGAGCCACTCCTCTGCGAAGGCCCGCGACCAGCTCCACCGCCACCCCCACCGCCTCCGCCGCCTCCGCTACTGCCGCCGCCTCCACCGCCGCCTCCACCGCCGCCTCCACCGCCGCCTCCTCCGCCACCTCCGCTCCCACCGCCACCGCCGCCGCCGCCGCCTCCGCCTCCACCGCCGCCACCGACCCCCCCACCCGCACCTCCACTCCCACCGCCACCCCCACTACCCCCACCGCCTCCACCTCCACCTCCACCGCCCGCTCCTCCAGCTCCCTTGCCCCCCTTGCCCTTGCCAGGGCGGCGTCTCCCGCTAGGGGCAGACGCCGCACCGACTGACTCAAGACGAAGGAGGTCGGCCGTAGCAGCAGAGGTAACAGAGGGCAGCAGGGGGGAGGGGGAACACCCCTCAAAGATGGGGGTGCGCGGGTCACCTCGAGAGGCTCCTACAGCGACTATACTCTTCTCCGCTGCTAAGAGGGCCTTCTCGAGGAGATCGACAGTGAGTGTGGTGGGACAGACTGAGACAAAGTGGTCCCTGACTACTCGAAGGGAGTCAGGAAGGCGAGTGACTAGGAAGTACAGAGTGATGTACATGGGAGGAGGGTTCTTGGCGCAGAAGTCAGCAGGGAGTGCAGCGCGGTAGCGAGTGTCACTAGTGCGGAGGTGCGTAATGAGGTCAGCCACGGTGGGAAAGGCAGCAAGGTCAGCGAAGAGGAAGGGTAGCATGAGACGGCTCAGTGCAGCAGTGGCAGGGGAGGAGTAGCGCGCGACTACAGCGTCGTACAAGGTCTGAGCACTCTTGTACTGACTAAAGTGCGCGCGCTCGGAGGTAGGGAGGTGGCGACGCACAGCAAGACGTGCAGCAGCGTCGCGCGTGGCCCACTGGGAGCGAACAGTGGCGTCAGCATCAGCAGCAGGGGCAGGGGAAGCGCCAGAGGTAAGGTCAAAGAGAGGGAGGCCGTCTGCCCTATCGCACTGTAAGAACAGCTGCAGGCCGATGAAGTTTGCCGCCGAAAAAGTGGGGTTAGTGCAAGGGAGGGTAGGGAGATTTTCCATGGGGGGAAAATTTGTTGCGTTGTTCGGAGCCTCACCGGCGTCGTCGTCTGAGTCGTCGGAGTCGTTGTTGACTGCTACAGCTTCAGGAGCAGTGGTAACCGCCTCCTTATCGTGGCGGCGCGTTGATGGTCCTTTTGCTCCTTTCTCCTTTTTTGCAATGTCGTTTTTAGCCGATGCAGATGCTGCAGGTTGTGTAGTTTCGGCGGCGATCGCGCTAGCGGGGTGCTGCTGTAACAGGGACAGGAGGGCCTTGACTTGGTCCGGGGTCAACGCCTCGGTCAAGGCCTGGTCAGCCGTCGCGTCAAACGAGGCAGCCGTACGGCGCCTCTGGCGCTGACGCGACGGCCGGCCGGAGGCGTGTGCCGCTGGCGCATGCTCCGCGTCCGTGGTGTGTGTCGTCACGTTCGCCACTGGCGCCACAGGTGTCACTGGCGCCACAAGCGTCGAAGGGTGCTGGGGGTGCTGCTCGGCGTTTTTGTTGACTTCAAGCCCGCCCAGCAGCATGTCCATGGCGGTCGGGGCGGATGTTTCGCCGTCTGCTCGGCGCTTGTTGCGACGCTCGCCCGTCGTTTCACGAGCATTACGGTCGTAATCGGAAATTATCGGATCGTTGGCGACGATGTTGTTAGCACGGTTAAGCGTCGGCGTCGCAGCCATCGTTGAGCGGTTTTGGTTAAGGATGTCGGCTAATAATGTTGAAGGGGAAACGCCTCTTGGTAATGAGCGAGTCCTCCCCAGCTTGGACGGTAAAACTAGAAGTGAGCTCGAGAAAGTGAAGTTGCATGAGCCGTTGGAAAACGAGAGACGTGGGTGGAGGGAAATGAGCTCCAACCCACGATTTGTAGTTGGAGAAGGGCGTTTAGCGCGCTATGACGATGCCAAAACATGCGTTACAAGAAGCTGCGCTTTCGAAATACGTAATTTTGAAAAACACTCAGTGTGTTTAAAATTTATAATAATTTCACTCTCGATCGTCTTGTATCCCTCTCCCTTACCTAATCGACGTGCTAGTGATTCTAACAGAATTGGCTACACGCTTCTACGGGAGGCCCTCAGATTCGGTTTTGGCCTGTCTGATTCGTCAGACTAGTACCGTATACTCCCGGACAAAACACCCCCCCATAATTGTACACCCCCGGGTAGCTTGTGCGGGGTGGGTGTTATGATAGACCCCGTTTCCACTATACCCCCCTTTTTGCCTGATTTTCTATAACACCCCCCTTTTCTTACGGATTCATTAGTATAGTCGTTAGCGAGTAGCTGCAATACGGAAGAATGTCGTGTGAATTTCTCCCTCAATGAAATTTCGCGGTACATTCAAAGGCAATCTGCCGAGATTTGCCCTCTCCCACTATTTCTCTGTTGCCACGTGCAGGTGAATCTTCCGTTGCAAGTGGCAAGAGAGGTGTCACATGGCATTTTCGTGAGGGCGATGAAGTTCGAGGCCGAAACTGACATTCGCGCCTCAGGCAGTGATGCTAAAACGACCAGCAAAACACCCACATTGACTAATTAAAAAAACACTAACACTAAAATATGCCATATGTAAAGACCCGGGTATTATGTATTTTTTTCCTATGAGGAGACCCCCCCCATTTTTTCCCTGTATTTTTAGCTATACCCTAGGGTGTTATGTCCGGGAGAATACGGTACACAGTTTTAGTCTGAAAATCTCATCAGACTTGGTATTGAAAAAAGGCTGAAATTTAAAACAAAAGTCTGATCATTCAAAATCAATGTATTCAATGTTTCATCGGAAGTGTATCCAATGTTTCATCCATCTGCTATCGAAACATGCTCTGACAGGGCGAATATATGTGTCAGGGCGAATCTTGTGGTGCGAATCTGCAATGTCAAGGCGATTTTGCTGTGATTGTGCGAAGGATTGTTGTACTCTGACAGCGCAAATCTGTTGTGTCAGGGCGATTTTCCTATGATTGGGCTAAAATCTAGTGCTGTAAGAGTCGGATTTGCTGTGTCAATGCGACTTTGCGTTGACAGTGCGAATCTGCTGTGACCCGTAAGTCCGAATCACCAGTCGAGGACGCGTTTGTACTCTAAATTATCAGAGTACACTCTCAGAAAACTCTGAACTCTCAGAGTTGGCCTAAAAAAAAGTCTGAAAATTACAGAGTTGAGGCCCCCCAAAGTCTGATTTTTACATAGCACAGGAAAAAAAATCTGAAATATCAGAGAAAAAAGTCCAAATCAGAGAAAAAAGTCTGAATTTTGAGGGCCTGTTCTACGGTAACTAAAAGGGCGGACATCACTCAACGATCTCACCATAGCCTAGGCACAAAACAGTCCCTCGCCGCACATAGAATGTTGGACGTCTCATCTCAAACTCTCCCGTGATTCCTTAGAATGCCCACTACAGCGGCCGACAGATGTCAATGGACCCACCATAGCTGCCACCGCTCGTTGTAACGCTCAAAGAGCTCCTTGCTCCCTCCAACTGCCCAAACATATCGTAAGTACGGGGGTTTTAGCTCCCTGCTTCCTTGGAATGTCCAACACTGATCACGGGGGCAGACAGATTTCAACAGGTCCACCAGAGCTGCCCCCAATGGTCCCCGCGCACGGGCTATTATACTTCTCAAACAGCTCCGTGCTTCTTCCGAATGCCCTGTTGATGATGCTGCTGCACGACGCCGACGCTTTGAACGTCCTTGCCCGTCCCTCGCCGCAGCCACCATAGGGAAGAGCTACAGCGGGCTTGAGACATATCTTCGGCCAGCCAGCCTGCGTGTTGCGCATGGACACATGTCAATGAGAAGCATGCCTCATCCACAACACCTGGAGAAATACATCTGGATCAGATCAACGTTACCACTGTGCACACTCAGATCTGCAGTGTTGTGATGCGGAGCGAGGCCACTGAGCCAGGCTCAACGATGAAAAACGACTGGCCCTTATGCCAGGCTGGCAGGCAACGCTTCATGCAGGCTCCTCCAACTCACCTCTTGATCAGCGTCCAGTGAGGTGTAGCACACGAGCCCGGTGGTTCAGCCGTTAGAGCTGCAACAAGGAACCGCCATCCATCTCCCTATCCAGTTGAGCCCTTCTTACACACGACACTTCCGACTCACCTCCTGATCAGCGTGCAGTGAGGTGTAGCACACGAGCCCTGGGTTCAGGCGGTAGAGCTCCAGCAGGGAACCCAGCTGATGGCCCTCCACCACCTGAGTGCAGCTGCTCGTGCCGCTGCCAACGGTTGAAGCGTCTAAAAAGCATTCCTCCCCGATCCCCACCTTCCGATCGTCCCGCTCGATGCAGAGGGAGCGGGACAGGGGGAGCGGTGAGGAGCAGTCGAGGCCGGGGTTGAGGAGCGACAGGGAGGAGGAGGAAAGGCCAAAAGAGGCTGCCACTGACTCGCATGTGTCGCCCTGCTTGGCGAGAGGGGGAGGAGTGTGGGTGCAGGCGCAAAGAGGTGGGAGGGGTGAAGCAAGTCAGTGCAACAATGACATGTGATACAGAAGGACAGCGGTCTCGTGGAGAGTCTAAAGCGGCGCAAAAGATAACAAGAGAAACAAGAGAAACGCTAGTGAGTCACAACCTACATACAGAACCAGCAACACGAAATGCTAGCTCATAACACATACGAGGGTGCAAGGGAGATGAGTTACCGGTCGCATGAAATAGAAGACAGAGCGAACAGGCAACCTCTTTTCAAGTTGCACGGTAGGAGCCTCTTGCAAGATAGTTACCGGTTGAATGTAATAGAAGACAGAGCAGGAGGCAAGGTCGTCCCTCTCAGTCACGTTGAGTATTTGACCCCGGGTGAGGGCAGCAGTGCAGTCCACGCCCTGCCAGCCAGCACACGCACACAGCAAGGTGAGTGGCAGTGAGAGTATAAGAGAGAACCCCAACACTGTCAGGCGCAGTCCACGCCCTGCCAGCCAGCACACACACACACACACACACAGCAAGGTGAATGGCTGGTCTTGACAGTCAAGAGACTCTCCCAGTGCAAAAGAATGCGTGGGCATAGGATACACTCAGATGTATATTTGGCAAAAACTCTCACATTGTTCTGTGCAGTGAACTCGTCTAGAGTGAGTCCATAAAGAGGATAGACGTCCTCACACCTCCAGTTGTCTCCTTGCACCTCCAGTGTTGAAGCAAGTCCCGAAGTTTCTGCGCACGCGCAAAGGCGCAAAACCAACAACAAATACCAGAAGGCTTGAAAAGCAAATCCCGCTTGCACGAATGCACCAATTAGGCTAAGAAGGTATTGGGTGTCTCTTTTTGATAGGTTCATTGTTCCATGCCCATCACCCATTGAAACAAATGTGCCAGAGTTAAACGGTAGGCAGGCTGTGCCGAGATGTTTCATAGAGAAGGGAGGAGAGCCCGTGATGACAGGTGGGGCACAGAGCCTACTGTATTCACAGGTGGGGTATCCGTTGGTTCTGGTGTCTGGGACGTGCAAGGGCGGGCAGACACAGGAGTAGGAGCCGGGGCCACCACTGATGCAGGAGCCTGACTTGCAGGGGTTCCTGGTGCTGTTGCCACACACATCCGCTGGTGGGGTGGCGGGGGGAGGACACAGTTTTGCTTATGAGGCGCTGTGGGAATACAGTATGCCTTACAGGGGTTGCGAGTGATGTTACCACACACATCCGGTGGTGGAAGTAGAGGGGGGGGAGCAAACAGAATTGGTTCTTAGGCGCCTTGAAAGTAGAGCCCGCCCGCCTTTCAAGGGTTTGTGGTGCAGTTGCCACTCACATCCACTGGTGGAGGCAGTTCAGTTTCTGCGACGAGGTGACTTTAAGTCGACTCAAAAGTCACATCCACGGGTTGTGGGGGGGAAAAAGCAGTTTAACATCTGGCGCGAGGTGAAGTTGACTCAAAAGCCACAGCCACGGGTTGTGGTGCGGAGGGGATAGTTGACAGCTGCAAAGGAAAGTCCAGGGGTTCAAAGGGAGGTGCAAGGGGCTGATCACTAGGTGCAACAGACGCAACTTTCCATACAGTATACTCAGGCGTGCTCAAGACAACGACCATCTAAGTTCTAACATGTAGTTTGTTAGCGCTTACAGTCGGTTGGCATGGGTGCGGATTTGGGACGAGAGTAATTCCCTTTCATGAGCTCGCATGTGCCGTCCGGCCTGCTGGTGCCGCCATCGCATGAGCATCTAGAGTCTAGCATGTAACCTATGAATGCTTACAGTCGGTGGCCGACGGTGCGGGCTCAGGGGGAGAAAAATTCCCAGCGAAGAGCTCGCATGTGCCGTCCGGCCTGCTGGTGCCGCCATCGCAGACGCACCCCACTCCCCTGCGGTCCGTGGTTGCAGTGCATGAGAAGTTGGTGGGGCACACCGCGTGCCCACAGATGTCCTCTGGAGCATGGGCAGTGAGTGGGGAGGAGGGGGAGTTTGAGTTGAAACAAGGGGTCGGAGAGAAGAGGGCTGACATGTGCCATCCAGCCTGCTGGTGCCACCATAGCACACGCACCCCACCGCCCTGCGGTCCGTGGTTGCAGTGCATGAGAAGTTGGTCGGCGCACAGATGTCCTCACCCCACAGATGTCCTCTGGCGTACCGGCGGTGAGGGGTGGGGAGAGTGGGAGGGAGGGGAGAGGGAGGGCGGAGGGAGGGGAGCGGGAGGGGAGACGGGGGGGAATAAGGGGGAGGTGACCTCTGGGGGTGATCTCTGGAGCTCCGGCAGTGAAAGGGGTGGGTTGGGGGCTGGAGGAGGAAAATGAGGCGTGGGGGGGTGCTGAGTTGGAAACCAGGGGTTCGCTCCCCTGCGGTCCATGGTTGCAACGCAGGAGTAGTTGGCTTGGCTGGGTACACTGCGCACCCACAGATGTCCTCTGCTGCACCGGCAGTGAGGTGTTTAACAAATAGGTTGACAAGGAGTGGGAGGAGAGGAGAGGAGAAGGGAGGCGAGGGGATGGGAGGAGATGCGGGGAAAAGAGATGATAATAAAAGGAGGAGAAGAGAGGGAAGGAGAGGAGCCGAGTGTTGAATTTGGTACAGGCTACTAAGTAAAAAACACTGGGTGCCGCTCATATATTAGGTGCACACTTGACTGACGGTATCTCGTACACTTCTCCTCAAAGCCCCCGATTCATTATCACAAATATTTGATGGAGTGCAGTAAGCACGACAGCAACAGGAGCGAGAGCAGCAGGAGCGAGAGCAGCAGGAAAGAGAGCAGCAGGAAAGAGAGCAGCAGGAAAGAGAGCAGCAGAGACGCACCGATGATGCAGCGGACGGACTTGGCTGGTTTGGCAATCGCCTTCACCCTGCTCATGGGCACAGAGGGAACACGCTGCCAGTCATTAGTCAGGTGGCCCCATGGCAGTGAGCGATCACGCTGCGGCCCAGAGATGGAGGGCTTCAAGGAAGCAGGGACGCGGGGAAGCGGGCAAGCTGGCAAGCAGGCAAGCAGGCGAGCGGGGAAGAGGGGGAAGCGGGGAGGCGGGAAGGCAGGGAGGCGGGGAGGCGGGGAGGCGGGGAGGGGGAGAAGCGGGGAAGCGGGAAAGCGGGAAAGTGGGGAAGCAGGGAAGCGGGAAAGCGCGAAAGCAGCGAAGCGGGGATGCAGGGACGGAGGGAAGCGAGTAAGCGGGAATCGGGGAAGCGGCAAAGCGGGAAAGCAGGGGTGCAAGAGACGAGCTCACTCACCTCTGAGTGCCCTGCATCAGAGTGTCCACTGGCGCTCCTTTGCACCCGGGCTTGGAATAAAGCTGAAGCTTCCAGCAAGCAGCATCTACGTCCGGCTGCGTCCACGCCACCTGCACCTTCTTCCTTCCCCCGCCCGCCTTAGCCGGGATGTCAACGCAGCGCAGTGAGTTGAAGGTGAATGGGCGGTTGTTGATCCTCACCTGCGTGCCCACCTGCAGCTGCGCGTCCAGTGCTGCGCCACTGGCGGGTCCTGTAGTAATGGGGTCGGTGACCATAGGAGCATGAGCATGGGAGTACAGCATTGAATGATGTGAGAATGGAGCAGGAGAGCATGTGAGGGCAGGAGGGCATGTGAGAGCAGGAGGGCATGTGAGAGCAGGAGAGCATGTGAGAAAGTAGAACGCAGGATCAAGGAGCATGGAATCCTGTGAGAATGGGAGAGCATGAGGGTGTATGGCAGTATGGCAACATGGAATCATGGTAGCATGCGAGCATGGGGGTGAGGAGCATGGTTTGGCATGTAAGAGCATCGGATTTTGTGAGCAAGGAGGATGAGAGCACGGGAGAATGGGAGAATGGGAGAATGGGAGAATGGGAGCATGGGAGCATGGGAGCATGGGAGCATGGGAGCATGGGAGCATGGGAGCATGGGAGCATGGGAGCATGGGAGCATGGGAGCGTGGGAGCATGGGAGCATGGGAGCATGGGAGCATGGGAGCATGGGAGAATGGGAGCATGGGCGGATCATGTGAGCATGGGGTAGCATGTGAGCCATTGGAATAGTATGAGAATTAAGCACGGGGCCAAGAGTGAAAGGGAGCGTTAAGCTTGTGAGAATGGGGGAGCATGTGCGCGGCATGGCAACTGTCGGGTCATGGGAGCGTGGGAGCAAGGAGCGCGGGAGCGAGGAGTTGGAAAGGAGGAGAGGCGCACCAGCGGTGATCACGAGGATGAGGAGCAGCACAATCAGCGCAATCACGCCGTGAACACTCCCGCCACCCGCCATTGTGCTGTGCAGCCGACGGCCAGGTGCGTAGGAATGAAGACCGGCAGACGGCTGATGCTGATCGGCAGCGCGACTCGAGAAGGCGATGCGGTTAGCGGAGCAGAGGGGCTTGCGTTGAAATAAGCAGACGGTTTCAGGACGGGGAGAGCGCGACGGAGATAATGCCGCGATACTACTAGCGACAATGGTGTCTTTTGAGTTGAGTCAACAAACTATTGAATTCGGTTACAATGAGCATGGTAGTTCAAGTGGTCAAGCGCCAGACAATAAGCGCTCTATCGTTAGTTCGTAGTGACAGTTTACTAAAGACGTTTCACAATTCCACACAACCTGTCGTTATCAACACTGAAGAGCTGGTTCGCGAGAACCGCTCGCTGCCGAGACCGATAAATCTAGTCGCCTTCCTTGACACGCCCTGCCCAATGCGGCAAGCAGAGGCGAAATGCTCCTTGGTGGTACTGAGCGGGAACGCGGTCAGCAGCGTCGCCATGATCGTCGCCGCAAGGAACGGAGAGTATGCGCTCTTTCGACTAGCGACTTGCGCCGAGCGACGGCCTCGGCGCCAAGCGAGGCGAGCAATGGGAACGCGTTTTGAGCTTGTCAAGTCCCATCAAGTCCTACGGGTTGGTATTCGGGATGCGAATTACTCTGAGAGTGATTTTTTCGCGGCAGCACCGCAAGAAGCGGAGTCAAATGAAGGAGGAAGAAAAGGGGATGACTGGCAGTGGTGGAATGGTTGTGCGGCCATTATCTCCGATACTCAGATTCTGCCTGAACGCGTTCTCAGGTGTAATCACCAACAGAAACACAGTTTCTCGATATGGTGTGAAGCTATTCTGGCTCGTGTCTGAATACAGTCACTCAAAAAAAGGAATTCTAGCACTTGCAAAAAAATAAATATAATGCCCGCAGCGAACCTATATGATTTCCGGGAAGGATCAACCCTAAATACCGAAAGCCTCCCAATATTTTGGAAAACATATTGCAACCCACTTGACAGAAAAAATATTCCCACCTCGGAAAGGGATGCGACTCGGGAGGCATCAACCCTAAAAACAATTCCCATTCCCGTGTTTAGGGTTGACCCCTCTCGGAAATGCATCCAGATTCACTAGGGGTTTTATTTTTTTCTGCCATGCCCGAATAGGTCTCGGTAGCGTCGTCTAGTGCTTCTGGTAGCGTTGTTTAGCGGTCGGTTGCGCTACTGAGCACTACCAAGTGAATTATATGGGCTTCATTCTCTTACTACCTTAATTTCCATACATATATCCAAGTCGAGAGGGTAAACTAGATGGTTTTGTTTTTGTCACTTTCTAATGAGTTTGACCCGCGTGAGAAATGTGACTAAAAAGCGACGACCAATCAACGTTGAGAAAGTCCAGGTTGATTACACCTGAGAACGCGCTCAGGAAAAATCTGAGTATCGGAGATGATGGACGATGGTTGTGCGCTGAAATTGAAAATCGATCAGCCATTATCTCCGATACTTAGATTTCGCCTGAGCGCATTCTCAGGTGTAATCAACCTGGACTATCTCAACGTTGATTAGTCGTCGCTTTAAAATCACATTTCTCACGCTGGTCGAACACATTAGGAAGTGACAAAAACAGAACCATTCAATTTACCCTCCCGACTTGGATATAAGTACGAGATTTACGTAGTAAGAGATTGAAGCCCATCTGATTCAACGCAAAACAACGCTACCGGTATTCGGGCATGGCAGAGAAAAACAAAACCCCTAGGGAACCCTAAACTGGGGAATGGGCATTGTTTTTAGGGTTGATGCCTCCCAAGTCAGATCCCATTCCGATTGGGTTTTATTTTTCCTGTAAAGTGGGTTGCAATATGTTTTCCAAAATATTGGGCGGCTTTCGGTGACGAGAAACGAGAATAAATGACTTCACTATAGGTTTGCAAGAACATATAGCAAATGAACAAAGAAGGTGCACCACCTAACAAAGTTTATAATAACTACACTAACTACAACTACAGGCAGTTACAGATATATTCTAACACTCCCCCATAACTGCCAGAAGCAGGAGTCTGTGTAGTGACACAACCTGGATGGGTACACCACGAACTGAGAAAACAGCAACAGCACGCAACAGGCAAGGTTACAAAGCACGTACAGCAGCAAAGGGGGGGGGGGGGCAGGCACTCTTGCCACCCCTTTACTCTCCTCCCCCCCCCAGACCACAGGAGGGGCGGCAAGGAGAGAGAGGAGGCGGGCTGGCGCTGGCTGGTCACCCACTCCATCCCCTCACCCTCCCCCTCCCCCTCCCCCTCCCCCTCCCACTGCTGTAGGAGCAGTAGAGGGGGGGCGAAAGGAGGAGGATGGGAAGGGGAGACCATACACCCGCCACCCCAATGCCACTCCCCTGGCTCCCCCACACCCTCACACCCTCCCCCCCTGTGGCAGCTGCAACAATGGGAACGAAAGGAGGAGGAGGGGAAGGGGAGACCACACACCCGCCACCCCAATGCCACTCCCCTGGCTCCCCCACACCCTCACACCCTCCCCCACTGCGGCAGCTGCAGCAGTGGGAACGAAAGGAGGAGGAGGGGAAGGGGAGACCACACACCCGCCACCCCCACACCCGCCACCCCCTACTCGCCACCCCCAAACCCTAACACAGGGCAGGGCGGGATGGCGGGTAGGGAGGTTACAGGGGGGGGGGAGGGGGGGGGGGGGGGGCGACGCGCGGCCTCCTAGGGCGCCAAAGCAGGCGGCAGAAGGGGCGACGCTCGCCCCCCCCCCCCCCCAGGATGCCCTCCCGTCGCCTGTCGAGGCGACCTGAGGGGGCCGCGTGCGGCCCCCCAGGGAGCCGCAACGGGCGACGGGAAAAAGAGGGGGGGGGGGGGGGGGGGGGCGGTGCACGTGCCCCCGGTGCGCCGCGACAGGCGACGGAGCATGGCCGGGGCGGGGCCGGGGCAGGGTCGAGGCAGGGTCGGGGCATAGCAAGGGGAGGGCCGCGATAGGGCCGCGACAGGGTCAGGGCAGGGCCGGGGTCGGGGCAGGTCCGGGACGGGGCCGCGACAGGGTCGGGGCAGGGCCGGGGTCGGGGTCGAGGCAGGGCCGAAAGGGGCAGCGACGCGGCCGCAAGGGGGCGGCGACGGGGCTGTGGAGGCGGCGACGGGGCCGATAGGGGCGGCGACGGGGCTGCTGGAGGCGGCGACGGGGCCGCTTGAGGCGGCGACGGGCCGGTAAAGGCGGCGACGGGGCCGCGAAGGGGGTCGCGAGGGGCCTGAAAGGTCGGCGACGGGGCCGATAGGGGCGGCGACGGGGCCGCGAAGGGGCCGCAAAGGGCCTGGAAGGGCGGCAACGGGGTCGCGAAGGGGGCCGCGAGGGGCCACTAAGGGTCTCGTGAGGGGCACGCCACGGGGCATGCAATACACAGAGTAGCAGCGGAAGCAACAAGCCAGGAACGTAGTTTGCTCTGATAGCATGACGAGAAACGAGAATGAATGACTTCACTAAAGGTTTGCAAAAACATATAGCAAATGAACAAAGAAGGTGCACCACCTAACAAAGTTTATAATAACTACACCAACTACAGCTACAGGCAGTTACAGATATATTCCAACATTCGGTATTTAGGGTTGATCCTTCCCGTAAATCATCTAGGTTCGCTTCAGGTTTTATATTTATTTGTTTGCAAGCGCTGGAACCTTTTTAGTGACTGCATCTAATATGAGCCAGAAAATCTTCACACTATATCGCAAAACCGTGTTTCTGTTGGTGATTACACCTGAGAACGCGCTCTGGCAGATTTTGAGTATCGGAGATAATGGCTGAAAATCGATTGACTTGCGCTTTCGATCGCGTCGCGTTCTGCCCCAATCAACCAATCAGGCTGCATTTGTTCACTGGCGGGAGAATGGACACGGAGGAGTCTGTCAGGTTGAACGCGTTCTGGGCGACGATGGAGAAACATGCGGATACTCACCAACAACGGCCTCGTTAAAGAAAAATGTTTCTATAGAGCCAGCGGTAACAAAGCAGCATATTCTTTTGATTTTTGTGGCAGCTAGCAGCCAACAATCAAATGGACTGAACGAAGAACTTATTTTTCGCCTGCCTCGCCACCTTCGTCATGGGCCACTATACCCCAAGACTTGGAAGGTGTTATGTCGGATCCCCGCTCGGGCACGGGGCCCTCCTATCGTGGTCTTGTGTGTTCAAGTGCTATCGAGTACGGTAATAATGTAATTAGCAACTACTGGTCAGGACAAAGGTTGGGTCGAACGTTTGTGTGTGGTTTGGGTCTCGATGTTCCGCATCCCACGGGTTTCGCAAATTGGTTTCCAGAGATAAGAGTTTTGGAATTCCACCGTTTTTCTAAGTGAGAGCCGCTAGAGTTGTGGCAGCTTGTAGAGGTGTTTCACTGAAGCCTGGGGACTTGCCAAATCGATCGATGTCAGGTGAGTCATGTCAGACACGGTGTGGAGAGCAGTGTCTGAGATGCTGGCGAGACTCTTCATCTGCAGACAAGTGCGTCTTTCAGTTCTCGCACCGAGGGCTGACGAAACAACCTGGAGAAAAATCCACAGCAAAGGCAAACACGAAGGTATAATCAGATGCTGAAAATGCAACGCACCTGCATACATCCAACATGCGAGTGTTCCCATTTCAGCGGTAACTTACATGTAACATGTGCATATTTCCATCCATGCAGGTGCAACTTACATCCAACATGCGTGTGCTTCCCAAACGCCTCGTACAAGCGACACCAATGCTCCCTCGAGGGTAGCTTCAGCCTTGAGCACACAACTGGCCTGCTCAGCAACGTTCCCTCTTGCTGCTGCCAGCTCGTCCGCTTGCCTTGTAATCAGGTTCTTAGCCAACTCCCCCCTGGCTACTTCCAGCTGCTCGCTTAGCTCCTCCAGTTGCACGCCCAACTCACCCACTCCCACTAGCCGGCCCAAAGCAATTCCTACAGCTTCGTACATACTCCGCAGTGTGAAACTGCCATGCTCAAAAGCACAAGGCAGCAGTCTCATCCACATCAACTTAAGAAGGCATGGGAGAAGAAAGCAGAAGTTACAACAAATCTACAAAACCAGCAAATGCACGTCAAGTAGAATATCTCATGAGCCTAAGGGGTGGTGAGGGGAGAGTTGGCGAAGGAGCAACAGGAAGGGAGGGAAGAGGGGGCGGAATGAGTAATTCATGCGTAGGACAAGGAGGGTGAGAGAGCGGCGAAAAAAAATGGAACAGCAAAAGAGAGGAGAAAATAGGGCTTGAGGAGGAAGTGGGGAGGATAGGTTTAGAGCAGAGGGACCTAAACGACATACCCCAGCAGACAGACACCCACAGGCAAGAGTTATGGCATACCCATGAGGTTATGAGCAACCACAGCTTGGTTGTCACTGCAACTTTCTGCTCATGAACCCAGGAATTCGCTTGCGGATACGAGATTCCCATACTCCATAGGAGCGCCACCAGCGCGTTCATTGCAACATATGCAACGGAGGCCTGCATTTGAGGAATCACACGATCGCATCGAGTATGTTGTTTTGTGCACATGTGCGGAATCACACTAAGTCCTGCACGCTTTCTTTCCAGCAACTGCAGAACAAAACAGGTGCTTAAGAGTGCAAAAGGCTTTGTCCAGGGGCATACCAGAGTGCAGAGGAGGTGGAACGGCGTGGCGAGAGAGTGAGCATGTTGAGCAGAGGAGGTGTTTCCGGGGGGCTGAAGGTGAGGAAGGCCAGTGGCGTCATGACCCACAGCAGAGGCATTCATCTGGGTGTTCACGTGGTGGTTGGGGAATACGCATGGGAAAAAAGTTTACTGACGGCTCTGCTCATCCAGTTGGTCTGCCGAGCCGACGATTCTTCTCAGCTGGCCAGGGTCAATCCGTGGGCAAGTGGAAATGGTTAGCAGCAAGATGGGAGAAAAGGAAGAATGAGCAGGCTTACCTGTAAGCATGCATGCGAATTGGTTGCTTACACCAAGGGAGTGCAGATACGTGTGGAATTCAGTTGCAGGCAGCATGAGCGGATGGTCAGCTTGCAGTCCCCCTGTAACACCTGGCAGCTGCAAGAGAAAGCAAGGGGAGCATATGTGCAAGCAAGACAATGGCAAGGCGCATATGATGAAGATTGGGGTGAGCTAGTAAGCACCAAGCAAACAAGAGTCACACCAGAACAGATAACGAAATGCATCCTGTAAATCATTCGCTTGTGAGCATGTGATGCTGATGCTGGTGGTGGTGCGAGGTGGGTCACCTTGAAATGGATCGACGCGGAAAGCAATGAGGGCAGCGAGAACGAGATCAATCAGCAGAGGCGTTACAGGCGTACCCACCCCAGCCACACGAGCCATGGGCTATGGGAGAGAAAGCTGGAGACGGACAGGTGGTGTGGTCCTGCTTCTGCAGGGAGGGAGTGCAGAGAGGGAAGCAGCAGCAACAGCAGGGTGCGGAGGGGATAAGCAGCGGGAGAAGGAAGACGGCTGGGGTCTGATGAGTGAGCACAAGTGGCATGCAGGGAGGCGGAACGGACAGAGATGGAGAGGGGAGGAGCAGAATTTGAAAAGAGGGGAAGGGGCAGGAGACGGAAGGAGCAGGAAACTGCACGAGTAGAACGAGATGGGAGGCACAGACGGGGCGAAGTGCATCATTTCTCAGGAGCTCAGAGGATAGGAGGCGTAGGAAGGAGGAAGGAGGTAGTGTGAATGAAGCGGAAGGAAACACTGGGACTAAGAAGTGGGCAGATAAGCGCGTGAACGTAAGAGAGGCCTATGATGACACGAGTAAATCCGTCAAGATGGTAACGACAGGAGAGGGGATTGGGGGAAGGGGGCTAACGGGCAGCGGGGCGAGACAAAGTGTTCAGCACGGGCAAGACAGCTGACGAGAGAGTCACACAGAGGAACGGTTGTTGTTGAGTCGGACTCAAAAACAGGCCAAGCGCTTAGCACGGGTAAGAGAGCTGAGCTGACAAGAGAGTCAGGCTGAGGAACGGTTGGCTAGGACCCAGGCGTGGAGGAGAGGTGAGAGTGGCGAACAGCAGGGCGCACGTGATAATCAAAGAGGAAACGCGTTCAGGTGAGGGGAGCAGCATAGAGCGTCTGGTAATCTAGTGGGCGGCGGTTCGAATCCTTCTAAGTCTTCGCATCGTACCTTGAGTGCCAGCCGCGAGCTCGCAGGCGCGAGCGTGGCACTTTCGCCAGGGGCAGGGCGGCGAGCCGAGAGCAATCGAGAAAAGAAGGCAGAAGGGAATTGGCGAGGAAGGGAGCAGGAGGAAAATGAATCACCGTGCAGTTGGAAATCGTTAGGCTTAATGGAGAAGGGCGAGGAAGGCACGGAGGGGCTGAGGGGATGCAGTGTTGCGATGCGCCTCCCACAGGGCGAGTGGCACTCGCCTCACGACACCCATCATCTCTCGCCCTTCAACCGCGGCCGCCGCGGCATCGCCGCTTCCCATCTCGCACGCGGCCTCGAGCCGCCTCCGAATAGCATCGTAAGAACGAATCTTCTCGAGGAGGGGATGACACTAGGGCGCGATGCGGCGTGCCGCATAGCGGCGCCCACTTCGCGGCACCCGTCTCTCGCACGCGCCCTTCTCTCACGGCGGCCGCGCTTCTGTTCGCTCGCCTGTATCCCACGCGCTGGCAAACGCCGGCATGTTTGCGTGTCTGTACTGGACTGATCGCAACTGCCGCCACCTGGCTCACCCCGCCGCCACTTGGCGGAGGAACGCCGACTTTCGAAAACGACACTTCCCCATCTCTCTCTTCCCGCGTCCCCGGATTAGCCATCGACCATTAGCGCACTGCCATCATGAGTCGCCTCCGACTCGGCCTAGCATCTCCAGAACAGATCTTCCCCTATCAGCCACGTGGCGTTCAATGCCTGGTGACGGTGCTCGTTCCCGCAAGCGCAGAGAGCAATGCTGGCGGTGCTGTGCTGAACCTTCACACTACAACAATAACTCGATTATGTTTGAAAGGCGTTCGCGGCTAAAACCAGCCCAATTTGCCAGGGCGACTCGGCTTTCTGACACGCGGTACCATGCGCAGCGTGGCTTTTAGGGATGAGATTGGGAGGCTTCAGGCATGACAGCCTTCTCAAGGCGATGATGCATTTTCATTTTGCTGGAAGTCTGCATCTGAAGCTCTGCGGATGCACTACTTCGATAGTGAGTAAAGAGTGCTTGTTTAGATAAGGAGTCTTTGTTTAACTACTGTAAGGAATTTTCTCGGCATTCCTTACGGAGCCGACTACATCGCGTACAGCAACAGCCGATTGTTCGCCCGTTACTGCTAACGGAACTTCGCCGACTTCGCGCGCACTGTTTTACCAAACCTCGCACTGCTGGCATGGCCGTATCGGCCTACGCTTCGGGACTAGCCCGAGCCTCGCTCCAGCGTAGCACTAGCAAGCTCGCACGCACCGCGTTACCGTTTTGCATGTTTCGCGTATAAATGTTCGCTCATGCCTTCGCTCACATTTTGTACTCGTTTGACACCTTAGTGCAATTCTCGCTACCTCGATTCATTGCACCCGTAACACTTGGTATCAGAGCCCCTTTCTTTCGGACCGCGCACCTCCGCACACCAGGAAATCAACTTTTGATTTTTCACTCGAAGGGACTCACGCACCTTAGCCCCTAGGAGCCGCTGTCCTCGCGTTCTCTCGTAAACGCGTGCAGCCACGACTGCGCCTAGACTAAGATGAGCCGACGCCCTTCGACATGGCCGAAAACATCGACGTCACCACTCTCACGCAGGAGCGTTTGAACGATCTGCTGCGACAACTGCACGAAAGCTCCGAGGAAATCGCGGCATTGACGGCAGAACGCTCATCACTGCAAAATGACCTCCTGAGAGCACAATCTCAAGCACCTGGCACTCCGATTCAACCCGCACCCTCAACATCACAACACGGGAGTGTGGGGCAACCCGCGAGCGCGGCCAGTGATGGCGTCGTCCGCCCCGACGGAGACGACGACCACGGCACGACACACCCCAGAGCGACGCCTGCGGCCCCAAGTCAGCCTCGCGTCACGATTTCGGCACCAACCCACGATTCGGGACTGCCGTCACCGATGCCGCTGAAGCCGCAGCGCCCGCCATGCTTTGACCCGAGTCAACGGGGTGGTCCTACCGTTCAGGCGTGGTTATTCACAATGAATGTTTTCTTCGACGCCAACTACGTCTCGGAGGACTCGGCGAAGATTCGATACGCCGTGTCGTTGCTGCGAGGACCCGCCATGGACTGGTGGCGCGTCATCGTCACGAAGCCGACCGACTACGCGACACTACCGACACGGGAAGGACAAACCGGACCCTGGGCGCCGTCGTATTTCGTGGAGGTGCCCCAGTATCGCACGTGGGACGCGTGGTGCGCAGGTCTGCGCGCTCGATTTGAGCCAATCGCGGCCTCGATCTCGGCGCGACAGAAGCTCCGCACTTGGCGCCAACTCGGTTCCGTCCAGGATTACACGAGCGGATTTCTGGCGCTATGCGAGCAGGTGGGCTACATGCATGAGAGCGAACGCATCGACCGCTACATCGGCGGCCTGAAGCAGGACATCGCTCAGGAAATCCAGCTTCGCGGCGTCACTGAGTTTCAGGAAATTCTCGCTATGGCGGAGAAGCTCGACTTCTTTCGCCGACCGAGACCGGGGTCCTACGGAAACAACACCTGGGGACATCGGCCTCGCGGGACGAACGAGAGCGCCACGATACGCGCCGTCGCCGCAAATGCCGCTGCCGCACCGTTCAAAGGGCGCTGCTTTGCGTGCAATCGGCCGGGACATCGCAAGAGCGAATGCCCGGAAAACGCTAAGGGAAAGGGGGAAGCTGAGCAGCAGACACAGACCAAGCAGCAGGGAAACGCTGGAAGTCAGTAGCAGACGGGCCCTCTACTGACAGGTCACGCCGCTCGCCCGACCCAACCGACCCTCACCGAGTGATTGTGCCGGTTCACGCAATCGACCACACCCGGCCGAATAAGGAGGGTACCACGGTAGATAGCCCTATACTGCTCAGTGGGAAAATTGGGACGGACTTAGTTAAAATCTTCGTAGACGGGGGAGCCAGCCATAGCCTCATTAACACTGCTACAGCACGGAAACTGCGACTGCCACTGGACAAATGCTTACCTGAGATCGACGCACGACTGGTAGACGGCACGCCGCTGGCGATACGGGAACGCGTAGACCGAGTTCGGATTCGATGCGGGGGTAACTTCACGTTTAGTCAGGAAATGCTCGCAACGACCCTCGACGGAACCGACATTTTACTCGGGCGTGATTGGCTGCGACGACACAATCCGCGAATTGACTGGACGACGGGTGACTGCACCGTGCGAGTAAACGGTAACAACATTGCCTTACCTCGCTGGGGCTCGCCTGAGTCTTCGTCGGTGCGTGTCAACGCGATCACGATGAAACGCGCTGTTGCGGCCGGAGCTGACGTGTACGCGGTTGACATTCGGGAAGCCGAGGCAGCAGACAAGGGGGGCGATTTACAGAAACTGCTGACCGACGTACCGAGTGACCTGGCGGCACTGTTAAAACAGTACAGTGACATTTTCCCGGATGACTTACCGACGGGACTGCCACCTCAGCGACCGCACGATCACAGGATAGAACTGGAACCGGGGGCATAGCCAACAGTACAGCGACAGTTCCGACTGACCCAACCCGAACTAGACGAACTAAGGAAGCAGCTCGATTACCTGCTCGAAAAGGAATTCATTCGCCCTAGTTCGTCGCCCTTCGCCGCACCAATACTGTTCACACCGAAAAAGGACGGGGGGTTTCGCATGTGCATCGACTACAGGGCACTGAACAGGGTTACCATCAAATCCCGTTACCCCATCCCACGAGCCGACGAACTGATCGACCAACTGCGCACAGCCCGGGTTTTCTCGAAAATCGACCTCCGAGGAGGCTACCACCAAATCCGCGTCAACCCACCCGACTGCCCTAAAACCGCATTCCGAACACGCTACGGATCCTTCGAATACACCGTCATGCCATTCGGACTGACCAACGCCCCCGCCACTTTCCAAATGACCATGAACGAAGCATTCCGCCCGCTTTTAGATAAGTGCGTCATCGTTTATCTGGACGACATACTGATTTACAGCCCTGACAGAGCACAGCACTTACAAGACATCGAAGCAGTTTTTAAAATCCTGAGTGAGAACCGCCTACTGACCAAAGCATCTAAGTGTGAGTTTTTACAGGACCGCCTGGAGTTTTTGGGACATGTTATTTCAGCTGCAGGAGTGGAAATAGACCCGAAGAAAATTGCGACGATTCAGGCTTGGCACGCGCCGACCAACTTGACCGAGTTGCAGAGTTTCCTGGGGTTCGTCAACTACGTGCGCCGGTTCGTCCCCGACATGGCGAAGCTGACTGCCCCGTTGACTGACCTGCTGAGGAAGGGGGTTGAGTACACGTGGGGGGAGAAAGAGCAAGCTGCCTTCTCGGCCCTCAAAAATATTTTGTGCTCCCCGCCCGTCCTTCACATTGCAGATCCCCACCGTCCGTTCGAGCTCGTCACCGACGCAAGTGACATCGCTGTGGGAGCAGTACTGTTGCAGGATTTCGGGAACGGCCTCCAGCCAATCGCGTACGAGTCCCGCAAGTTACACCCGCCCGAACGTAACTACCCGATACACGACCGCGAGATGCTAGCGATCGTGCACGCGTTCAAAGTTTGGCGATGTTACCAGACTGGCGCCGACGTGACAGTACGGACAGACCACCGCTCGCTACAGTATCTTCGCGCCCAACCGAATCTCAACCCACGACAGATTCGCTGGTTGGACTATCTCGAGTCCAATTTTCACTACACCGTTACGTACAAAAAGGGTGCATCCAACATCGCCGACGCTCTCACCCGCCCCACCGCCCAACTCCATGCCATCCTACTCGCCCAGACCAACCCGCTTTTAACCGGCCTATTCACCCACGGATACCGCACCGACCCATTTTTCACGACCGGAAATTCACAGCAACTGGCAGAAGCAAAAGGAGTCTATTACGTAAAAGCAGGCACCAACCGCATTTGGGTACCCGCGTACTCACTACTGAGGGAGCTGCTACTACAGGAGGCACACGACGGGATTACCTCGGGACATTTCGGGGTAGAAAAAACGCGAAAGCAACTGCAGCGGTACTATTACTGGCCGGAGCTGTTGACCGACGTACAGCAGCACGTGGGCTCGTGCCCGACGTGTCAGGTGATGAAGAGTTCAAGGAAGCGGAAGGCGGGTCAATTGCAGCCGATCCCACCGCCCGAATGCGCCTGGCAGCAAGTAACCATGGACTTCGTCACAGGGTTACCTTCGAACCCTGGGGGTAACGACGCGGTGATGGTCGTCGTGGATAGGCTGACGAAGATGGCACACTTCGCTGCGTGCAAAAAGTCGATCTCAGCCGAGGAGACCGCTCGCCTGTTCATCGCAGCCGTTGTTCGCCTGCACGGGATACCAGCAGCAATTATCAGCGACAGGGACACGAAATTTACCAGCAACTTCTGGAAGAACCTCTGGGAGTAGTTCGGGACCAGGCTACAGTTCAGTTCGTCGTACCACCCCGAGACCGACGGCCAAACGGAGCGGACGAATCAGACGATGGAGCAGTTGATTCGTGCCACGTGCGACGACCCCACGACCTGGGAGCAGCAGCTGCCGCTGATCGAGTTCGCGTACAACAACGCCACATCAGCCACGACGCAGCAGTCCCCATTCTACCTGAACTATGGGCAGAACCCCACAGTGCCCATGACGCCGAGTCCGGACAACCCAACGCCACGCGCACAACAATTCGCCGAAATCCTGCAAGCTGCCCGCGCCAGAGCCGCCGAAGCAATAAAAAAGGCCAACGTCATCGCTAAGCGCAACGCTGATCGCCACCGCCGCCCCGTCACGTATCAATCTGGAGATTACGTGCTACTCGACACGCAAAATCTGCGACTGCCCGACGTACCAAAATTACGACCACGCTACTGTGGACCATTCCAAATCAGTCACATGATCACACCCGTCACCGCACACCTACTGTTGCCAACCGACTGGTACATCAGCCCTTCGTTCCACGTCAGCCTACTTCGCCCATACATCCCGACCACAAGTCAACTGCCGCGTCACCGGCCACAATTAATGACTCGCCCTGCATCAGAGCCGATCATCGAGCCCGAAAAAATTCTGAGCCATCGGATCCGCCACCCCACGGGAATCAGGAGGATTGAATTCCTCATTCGCTGGAAAGACCGCACGCCAACTGAAGATAGCTGGGTGCCCCTGAGCAACATCGAAAATCACCCTGCCCTGCAAGTATACCTGAGGAGCCGGGGATTCCGCGATATACACGCACTCGCGTAGCGGAGGGGGCTTCTTGAGGGGGGGGGTAGTGTAAGGAATTTTCTCGGCATTCCTTACGGAGCCGACTACATCGCGTACAGCAACACCCGATTGTTCGCCCGTTACTGCTAACGGAACTTCGCCGACTTCGCGCGCACTGTTTTACCAAACCTCGCACTGCTGGCATGGCCGTATCGGCCTACGCTTCGGGACTAGCCCGAGCCTCGCTCCAGCGTAGCACTAGCAAGCTCGCACGCACCGCGTTACCGTTTTGCATGTTTCGCGTATAAATGTTCGCTCATGCCTTCGCTCACATTTTGTACTCGTTTGACACCTTAGTGCAATTCTCGCTACCTCGATTCATTGCACCCGTAACAACTACAGAAAATTTACTATGAGGTATATAAGGAAATGACGGGGAGGGGGGAGGGGGAAAGGATGTCACTAAAGCTTGCCTTGGTGAAAGAAAACGCTATTTTGTGGGCAAAATTGGATTACAATACAGAGGACTAACATACATCCTAATATATATGATATACCGTACACCCAAGGCAATGCACGCCTTTGGCTTTCTAATAGATGCAAGGCACGAATTGACTGTGCACTTCAACTACAGAATCAGACAACTCCCAACAGGCCCACGGTCACCACCACCAACAATCCCTGCACAGGAGCTGTTACACTTACGAGAGCTGACAGATCTCAACAACAGGCCCGGCATAGCCAACCCCACCAATCCCCGCACTTGAGTCGACTCAAAAGCAAATGCAAGGCAGACATTGGCTGCAAGCTTCAATCACGAGGGCAGGCAGATCTCAACAACAGGGTCGCCACTGCTGCCACCGAGAGTCCCCGCACACAGGTCGTTGTACTTCTCATACAGCTCCCTGCTCCCTCCCACTGCCCAAAATTAACTACCAAGCACTCCCAGCTCTCTGCTTCCTCTGATTGTCCAACCCTAATCACGGGGGCAAACAAATCTCAACGGGTTCACTAGTGCTGCCACCGAGAGTCCCCGCACACGGGTCGTTGTACTTCTCATACAGCTTCTTGTTTCGTTTGAAATACCTGTTGATGATGCCGCTGCACGGTGCTGCTGCTTTGAACTTCTTTGATACTCCCATGTCGCATTGACCATAAAGACCAACCGGCAGGGCCTCGGTACATATCTTGGGCCACCGAGCCTGCACATTTGCGGATGCCCGCATGTTAGAAAGAAGTTTGACTCACTCAGAACACTTGAAAGTGGACAACAAATATGTATGTGAAACGGAGGGATTGAAAGGCATGTATCAGGCAGGCTGTGATTGAGATGCGGAGAGATGGCGCTGCATGGTCAACAACAAAATAGGAAGCAATTCTTCCGATAACAAACCGGCAATGCTCAGCCTCCTCTGACTCACCCCCAGACTGGCAGTTAGTGAGCTGTAGCACACTCACCTCCCGATTGGCAGTTAGTGAGCTGTAGCACACGAGCCCTGGGTTCAGCCGGTAGAGCTCCAGCGAGGAAGAGAACTCAAAGTCGTTCACCACCTGCGCACAGCTGCTCGTGCCGCTGACCGAGTACACTGTATTGCAGTACTCTCCACTTCCGTCATCCGCCCCATCTTCCCGCTCCATGCAGAGGGAGCGTGACGGGGGCAGGGGTGAGGAGCAGTGAACGCCGGGGTTGAGGCTCTCGAGGGATAGGGAGGAGATGCCGAGGGAGGCGGCCACTGACTCACATGTGTCGCCCTGCTTGGGGATGGGGAGGAGTAAGGGTGGCGGAGCAGAGAGGTGGGAGTGGCGAGGAGCAGTTAAAGCCGGGGTTGAGCTGCTGCAGAGATTGGAAGGAGATGCCGAGAGATGCTGCCACTGACTCACTGACTCGCATGTGTCGCCCTGCTTGGGGATAAGCAACAACAGCATGACACAACAACTGAGATACAGAGACAGCAGCTACACCTGCTGTCACATAGCACACGACAGGGTACAAGGGAGGCGAGTTACCAGTTGAATTTAGTAGCAGAGAGAGCAAGAGGAAGGCCCTTGCAAGGTAGCTACCTTGTGAATGTAGTGGAAGACAGAGCAGGAGAGAGGCTCTTGCAAGGGAGGCGAGTCACCTTCTGAATGTAGTAGAAGACAGAGCAGGAGGTCAAGTCGTCCCTCTCAGTCACGTTGAGCGTTTGACCCCGGGTGAGGGCAGTCGAGCAGTCCACGGCCTGCCAGCCGGCACAGCCACACAGCAAGGTGAGCGGCAGTGACAGTATAAGAGTACCCCACACGGAAGGGTGAACAGCCGGTCTCGAAGATCACGAGTAGCTCTGATTTCAAAAGAATTTGCAGGCACAGGATGTATTGGGATGTACCTTTGAACAAGCCCTCACATTGTTCTGTGCAGTGAACTCGTCTAGCGTGAGTCCATAAAGAGGATAGACGTCCTCGCACCTCCAGTTGTCTCCTTGCACCTTGAGCGTTGGAGAAGACGACCCTGTGCCATTGACAATGAGGATACGGACCAAAGACAAGGGGGATATCATGTGCACACAGACACGGAGGATGTCATGTGCAGGGGCAAGGCGAGTGACAATGATGCAACGCCAGTGGAAAAGAGCACACAGAATCTTGCATCAAGGAATCTTTGAGTGGACTAAAAAAATCGACTTATCAGACTCTTGCGTTAGGAAACTGTACAGTCTGGAGAAGGAATTTAACTCTCACTTGCTCTAATGCACCATTTTGGTAATTATATAGCAAAACCAGATTTTTAACTGTCTCTCATACATAGTGACAAAAGGTGTCAGAGCCAAGGCAGACCGAGCCAAGAATGTGAATAGAGAGGGGCAGAGAGCATACCGTAATCACAGGTGGGGTATCCGTTGCTTTTGGACGGGACGCGATTGGGCGGGCAGACACAGGAGTAGGAGCCGGGGCCACCACTGATGCAGGAGCCATACTTGCAGGGATTCCTGGTGCTGTTGCCACACACATCCGCTGGTGGAGGTGGTGGGGGGAGGAAGCAGTTTGATTTCTGACGCGCCTCAAGAATAGATTACATGCAGACACAGGAGTAGGAGCCGGGGCCAGCGCTGATGCACGAGCTATCCTTGCAGGGGTTGCGCGTGCTGCTGCCACACATCCTCTGGTGGGGGTTGTGGGTGTGGCGGGGGGGGGGGGAAACAGTTTCACTTCAGAGGCGCCGTTGGAATACAACCCACCTCACAGAATTACGAGTGCTGCTGCCACACGCATCCGCTGGTGGGGTTGTGGTTGGGGGGAGAGGCGACAGGTTTAAGAATACGGCCCGCCTTGCAGGGGTTGCGAGTGGTACTGCCTTGCAGGGGTTGCGAGTGGTACTGCCTTGCAGGGGTTGCGAGTGCTACTGCCTTGCAGGGGTTGCGAGTGCTACTGCCTTGCAGGGGTTGCGAGTGCTACTGCCTTGCAGGGGTTGCGAGTGGTACTGCCTTGCAGGGGTTGCGAGTGCTACTGCCACACACATCCGCTGGTGGGGGTGGCAGAGGGAGGGAAGGGGAGGGGGGGGGGGATGGGGGGAAACAGTTTCTTTTTTTAGGCGCCTCAAGAACCAAGCTGTGTGAAAGGCAGGCAGAGGACTAGGTGCCATAGATGCACAGAGAGCGTTTCTAATGTGCAGGGTCGCAAAACACAAGGACAACAACACAAACAATGTAAGCGGGAGGAAATGCTTACGATCTGTTGGTGAGGGTGCAGGTGGAAGGTCATCATCCGTCGTATCAACAGGCTCAAGAAGAGAGTCGTCGAGTTCCGAGGTCGCATTGCACCTGCATTCCGCGGGGCATGCCTGGCAGATGTCCTCTGGAGCACCGGCAGTGAGGGTTTGGGAGGGGGGGAGGAGAGAGGGAGTGGAGGAGTGAGGCAGACAGCACACTGGGGCGAGGAAATTTGAGGAGATGAGTGGAAGAGAGGAGAGGAGAGACGAGAATTGAGCAGAGCAGCACAGAGGAGAGGAGGGTAACAACAGGTGACAAAGAGAAGGGAAGACGAGAAGAGAGAAGGGGGACGAAAGGAGTGCTGGGGGGCGGGAGGGAGAGAGACCAGCACAGCACGCACCAACGATGCAGGGAGGGAGCAGGAGCAGGAAAGTAGGCAAACAGGAAATTAGGCAAACAGGAAAGTAGGCAAACAGGAAATTAGGCAAACAGGGAAGCAGAGTAACAGGGATGATACCTCATCGCTGACTGCTCTGCATCAGAGTGTATACTGGCGCTCCCTGCACTGCAGTGATATACCATGGACTGCTAAGGCTTGCTCAACGCAAGGAGGACCATCCAGAGTCTCGAATGTAACATGCAGCGAGAAGGCTCTTGCACCTGCACATGCTCACCGTCTGATGGCTCTTGCACCTGCACATGCTCACCGTCTGATGGCGAGAAGGCTCTTGCACCTGCACATGCTCACCGTCTGATGGCGAGAAGGCTCTTGCACCTGCACATGCTCACCGTCTGATGGCGAGAAGGCTCTTGCACCTGCACATGCTCACCGTCTGATGGCGAGAAGGCTCTTGCACCTGCACATGCTCACCGTCTGATGGCGAGAAGGCTCTTGCACCTGCACATGCTCACCGTCTGATGGCGAGAAGGCTCTTGCACCTGCACATGCTCACCGTCTGATGGCGAGAAGGCTCTTGCACCTGCACATGCTCACCGTCTGATGGCGAGGGTTCGGAAGGAAGATAAGCGGGAAGGTCATCCTTGTGATATAAGTTGAGTTTTGATGACAAAACATTCTCAGAGTATTCTTACCCTCTGACGGTGAGAATGTTCTGAGATACTCTGGTCTGGACATTCTGAGAATGTTCGTCTCGGAACATTCTCACTGTCTGATGGTGAGGGTTCGGAAGGAAGATGAACTGGAGGGTAATCCTCCATAGATTATAATAAGCCACCCAGTGAATCAATGGGTTCAGTGGAGAGTCATTGCCTTCCGATTTTTTAGGATTCTCAGAGAATGGCTCTTGCACTTGCGCATGCTCACCGTCTGATGGCGGGGGTTCGAATGGAACATCATCCTCCAGAGAATCCAATGAGCCACCTGGTGAATCGATGCACTCAGGTGGACAGGTTGCCTTCCGATTTCTTGAGTTTTTTAAGATCGCTTTTGCGCTTGCGCATGCTTACCGTCTGCTGGCAAGGGTTCAGCCGGAAAGTCATCCTCCATGAAATCCAATGAGCCACCCAGTGAATCAATGGATTCAGGTGGCGAGTCGCTGCCTTCCCAGGCTGCGTCACACCTGCATTCTGCGGGGCACGCCTGGCAGATGTCCTCTGGCGCACCGGCAGTGAGTGCTGGGAGGAGGAATTGGGGGGGGAGGGGAGAGGGAGGGGGAAATGAGGCACACTGCATGCCCACAGATGTCCTCGGGAGCACCGGCAGTGAGGGGTTGGGAGGGGCAGAGGGGAGAGGGTGGGGAGGAGTGAGGCACACAGTGGGGAGATTAGTGCTGAGGATGGGAGTAGAAAAGAGGAGAGGAGAGGCGAGAGGAGAGCAGAGGAGAACAGAAGAGAGAAGGGAGACGGATAACAGAGAGGAGAGAAGATGAGAAAAGAGCAGGGGGGCGAAAGGAGTGCTCTAGGCGGAAGGGAGAGAGACCAGCACAACACGCAACATTCGTGTAGTTGAGCAGGGAAGCAGGGGAGGAGCGGAACAGGGGAGCAGGGTTCTTGCACATGCTTACGGTTTGTTGGCGCGGGTATGGGTTGAGCTGGAAGGTTTGTTGGTGCGCGTTTGGATTGAGCTGGAGGGTTTGTTAGCGAGGGTGAGGAGAGGAGAGGAGAGGAAAGGAGAGGGAGGAGAGGAGAATGGGAAAGAGGAGAAGTGGGGAGGAGACGAGCTAAGTGTTGAGTTTGGCAAAGGCTACTAATGAAAAGGAATGTGCAAGAGAGAAAGGAGGAGAGTAAAAGGAATTGCGAAGAACAGCATAGAGGAGAGAAAGAAGGAGAGGGAAGGGATGGGGAGGGAACGGAAGGGAAGGGAAGGAAAAAAAAGAAGGAAGAGAAATGAAGGGACAAAACGAGAAGATCTGAGAAGAGACGACATGGAGAAATGGAGAGGGAAGAATGGAACCGAAGGAATGCAGAAGGAGGGAGATGGAGAGGGAGAGCAGCAGTGGACGCACCAATGATGCAGCGCACGGACTTCAGCGGCTTGGCAATCTTCCTCGCCCTGCTTCACGCACACAGACGCACAGGCCCGCCCCAAGGCACAGATGCAATGGGCCGTGAGTGAAAGATAAAGGGAGCATGATTGAGAACAGCCAACTGTGGTCCCTATATGAAGACGTTGAAGGTGACGTAGTAGGGAAAGGAGAAGAAGCGAAGCAGGGAAGCAGGGAAGAAGGGAAGCAGGGAAGCAGGGAAGCAGGGAAGAAGGGAAGCAGGGAAGCAGGGAAGCAGGGAAGCAGGGAAGCAGATAAGCAAGGCTTGTGAGCTGCAGGCACGAGCTCACCGCTGCCTGCCGTGCAGCAGAGAGTCCACGGGCGTTCCCTTGCACCCGGGCTTGGAAAACAACCGAATCTCGCTACACGCAGCAGGTGCGCCTGCCGGCGTCCACGCCACCTGCACCTTCTTGCTGCCGCCGCGACGGGAGCTCTTGGCCGGAATGTCGACGCAGCGCAGCGAGTTGAAGGTGATGGCGCGGCCGTTGATGCTCACCCGCGTGCCCAGGGTATTGGGTGCCGTGCCAGTGGCTGCTCCTGTATTAGTGAAGGGAATGGGAAAGTTTAGGAGATTGGGAGAATGGGAGCATTGGAGCATGGGAAAGAGCATGGGAGCATGCAAGAATTGGATTATGGAGGGAAGGGGGATGCCATGGGAGCATGTAAGAGCATCAGCTTATGTGGGCTTGAAGTGTGAGAGCATGAAAGTATGAGAGAATGGGAGCATGGGCGGATGAAAGCATGAGAGAATGGGAGCATGGGTGCATGAAAGCATGGAGTCATTGAGAGTTGAGCATGAGAGTACGAGAGAAAGGGAGCACGGGAGCAAGGAGCACGGGGGTATGTGAGAATGGGAGCAGGTAGCAGAGGCGCACCAGCGGCGATGGCGAGGATGAGGAGCAGCGCAACCAGCGCAATGACGGCATGAACACTCCCGCCGCCCGCCATTGTGCCGTGCAGCTGGCGGCCACGCGCGTACTAGGGAAAGAAGATATGGCGGGCGATGTTATGGGTGGCGAGTCCCGCGCAGGTGATGCGGTTTGAGGATCCCCCACTCGAGTACTAGAGATGGTTGCGGAGCAGAGGGGATTGCGGAGCAAAGGGGATTGCGGAGCAAAGGGGATTGCGGAGCAGAGGGGATTGCGGAGCAGAGGGGATTGCGGAGCAAAGGGGATTGCGGAGCAGAGGGGATTGCGGAGCAGAGGGGATTGCGGAGCAGAGGGGATTGCGGAGCAGAGGGGATTGCGGAGCAGACTACGATGGGCTGCTGAGAATGTGGAATAGCGGACGGTCTCAAAAGCTCGAGAGAGCACGGCGGCTAGACTCATACGCGGTAGGGGAAAGAGGACGAGATGTACTCGTGGCGCCGTGGGGGTGTCGGGCAAGAGAGGGAGTAAAGAACTGAGTGCGGATTAGACTACAGCACGTAAGATTATCATCACTTGTACATGAGTGTGACAGCCTGCTGCTACCAGTGTCCTGACGACTGCAGACTCCGTCGATTACCAGTTCAACAACGTTGCAACTCCGATTTGCGGGAAATGGCTCAGCTCCTGCCATGGATCTCCGTAACTGCTCACTCGCCTTCCCTGACACGCCCATCCACCCCGACCAGAGGCGAAATGCCTACTGGTACCACGACTACTGCTAGTCCAAGCACAAGCGGGAACGCGGTCAGCGGCGTCGCCATCGTCGCCGCAAGGAGCGGAGAGTGCGCGCTCTTGCGACTTGCAACCTGCGCCGAGCGACGGCCTCGGCGCCGTGTGAGGCGGGCGATGAGAACGCGTTATGAACCCTAAAGAGTCCCATCAACCCCACTGGGTTGGTATTCGGGATGCCGCGAATTACTCGTAGTGAATTATTCGTGGCACCACCGCAAGAAGCGGAGTCAAACCACGGAGGAAGAATAAGGGATGACTCGCAGCGGTGGAATAAATTTGTGGTGAACCTGAAAACCGATTGGCTGGTGCTTTCAATCGCGTCGCGTTCTGCCCCAATCAACCAATCAGGCGGCATTAGTTCAATGGGAGAACGGCTATGATGGAGCCTGTTACGCTGAACGCGTTCTGGGCAATGAAGGATGCGGATACTCACAAACAACAGCTTCGTTAAGGCGTAGAATCATGTGAAAGGAGGATGATTCCATAGGGTCAACGTTACAAGCAGCATATCATATGATTTTCGTGGTAGCTCGTAGCCAACTTTCTCCCTATCATGTACTGAACTGAACAAATTCCTTTCGCCTGCCTCGCCACATTCGCCACGGGCCACTGTACCACAAGAATTGGAAAGTGTGATCAAGTGCTATGGAGTACGTTAATAAGGTATTTAGCGATTAGCGGACAGGACAAAGGTTGGGTGGAACGTTTGTGTGTTGTTTGGGCCTCGTTGCTCCGCGTTCCACGGAATTCGCGAATTTGCTTATTGAAGCTGATCCGCCCTTCGAAAATGGTTACCATTGATAGAGTTTTGGAAATCCTGTTTGAGCAGCAGATTTCGCGATTCGAAGAACGCGTTCGTCAATCGAATCGTCTTGGCTTACTTTCCGGAAACATAGGAGCAGTAGCGTGTCAGATCTAAGCATTTGGCCGAATTATTGTCGAAAACAAGGACTCGCCATTGTTCGCGAGAGGTCAGACGACGTTCGCAAATGAAACTTTGGCTACATTCGGCCCGTCAAAACTTTGGCCCTACAAATCTAGCTCGCCCTAAGCTTATTGCAGAAAGTCACGAAATCTTTCCGTGTTGGCAGCAGCTCATCCTGCGGAAACAACTTGTTTCGACTCTGTGAAGTCTCCTATTACGATTCCTCTACGTCATTAGTCTTTATCTCAGCCCCTCGAATAGGAAAGATAGCACATTCCAATCGCCAGACATTCCGCGCATCGAAAAGGCTCGTTTTTCTCCAGTACTCCAAGCACCAATAAAACGCGGGCCTCCGCCCGACCCTGCGTGGACATTGCAGAAGAAATTAGCAGTCACGACCGGGCACAACGCTCTTTTCGAATTCGAAAACGACCCCTTTAAGCCATTCTTGATCAAGGTGGAGAGCCGTTGATGCCGGCGCGCTCGGCCGTTTGATTCCGGTACTCTCCTTTCACGGCATCATTTGTGTCGGGAGCGCAGCGCCAGATGTCGATGCCGGAGCTAGCATCTACTCTGTACGAGGCGCCTCTTAAGCCGCACCGCCAGATGTCGATGCCCGCGATCGCGACAGTGGCGAGGCGGCGACGCGGGACGGCGAGCGCTTCGTCACCATCTCCTTCTGCGACCGCCGGTACTGCTGGCCCAGGGCTGCTTCTGCCATGCCATGGTGACTGCGCTGTGCGGTACATCATGCTAATTATGGTGGTGAACTGTGTGATGAGATCGCTGTGGTTCAAAAATGACAAAAAAAAACTCCGTTGACGATTCGCGATTACGTGATAAGCCTGCTGGAAGCTATTTTGATATGGCAGGCTATGCTAACGGGTCCAAACTGACTAACCTTAGAACCTTCACATTCCTAACACCCCTCTCATTCCGCCCGAATGCCTCTCATTCCACCAGCACGGCCCCGAGTCACCCCGTCCACCCCACATTCCCCGCCATCCCATCCGCCTGCCTGTCTGGTTCCCCTATGCGCCCCCACCCACCATCCCATGATCCCTCTGCCTGCCTGTCTGGTTTCCCATGCGCGCGGCAGCATGGCGGTGCGGGCAGCAGGGCGCGCTGACGGCGGCGCTGCTGGCGGCGGTGGTTGTGGCGGGCTGCGTGGCCTTCCTGCACCTCGCCTCGCACCGACGTATAGACGCGCTGCTGCAGGTACGACGCCTTGAATTGCCTTGAATCGCCTGAATCGCTCCTTCCCACACACATTCCTCACACATGGCCTTCCTGCACCTCGCCTCGCACCGCCGCATGGACGCGCTGCTGCAGGTATGGCGCCTCCCGTCCTCCCTGCTCCAAGAAACGCTCCTCCCCTTACACACACTCCCCTTACACAAACTCCCCTCACACACACTCCCTTGCTTCTGTGCAATGCCCCTCCCTCCGCTGGCATCCGACCGAGGGCGTGCATCACTCCACTCACTCACACTCTCCTCCACCTCGCCGTGCACCGCCGCATGGATGTTGCTGGGGCACTGGGATGTCGTAGCCAATGGCAGAGCACACATGCATGCATAAACCCAAACAGCATAGCACACATCCGTACTTAAAAACCCAACGGCAGAGCACGCATGCATGCATAACTCCGAACGGCAGAGCACACATGCATGCATAAACCTCAACGGCAGAATACACATGCTTGCTTAAACCCCGACGGCAGAGCACACATGCATGCATAAACCCCAACATTAGACCGCACGTGCATGCATAAACCCCAACATTAGACCGCACGTGCATGCATAAACCCCAACATGAGACCGCACGTGCATGCATAAACCCCAACCGTCTCTCCTATCTTTGATTCTTGTTCACCATGTGCTCCTATCCCCTCATCCCCCCACCATGTGCTCTCATCCCTTTATCCCCCCCCACCTGTCCCCATCCCTCTCCACCTGTACCCATCCCTCCCCACCCGTGCCCATCTATCCCTCCCCACGTGTGCATCAGCAACTGCAAGCCCTGCAGCCCTTTGGACTAGCGGGTGCCTCCCTGGCAAGTGCTGCCATGGCAGGCGACATTCAGGCGAGTTTCCTGCACGCAGCTGCCATGCAAGGAGCAGCGCTGCAGAGCTTCCGGAGTGTCGGCAGCAGAGGGGGGGGAGACAGCAGCGGTAGCACCAACAGTGACAACATCAGCGCCACACACACACGGCAGGCGATTGTGAGAGTCTTGTTTTTTCTTTCATGCACATCGAAGAATACTGTGCTTCCGTTTGACGAATTGCCCCGTTTGAAACGTGCTGCTCAAAGGATCTGGTACCAGATTTTCTGAAACGTGCCATCCAAAGGATTTCCATCTTTTAAGGCGCCTATTTTGAGGCGCCTCTTTTGAGGAGTCTACTTTTGAGGCGCCTCTTTTGAGGCGCCTCTTTTGAGGAGTCTACTTTTGAGGCGCCTCTTTTGAGGCGCCTCTTTTGAGGAGTCTACTTTTGAGGCGCCTCTTTTGAGGCGCCTCTTTTGAGGAGTCTACTTTTGAGGCGCCTCTTTTCAGGAGTCTACTTTTGAGGCGCCTCTTTTGAGGGGCCTCTTTTGAGGAGTCTACTTTTGAGGCGCCTCTTTTGAGGAGTCTACTTTTGAGGCGCCTCTTTTGAGGCGCCTCTTTTGAGGAGTCTACTTTTGAGGCGCCTCTTTTGAGGAGTCTACTTTTGAGGCGCCTCTTTTGAGGCGCCTCTTTTGAGGAGTCTACTTTTGAGGCGCCTCTTTTGAGGCGCCTCTTTTGAGGAGTGTACTTTTGAGGCGCCTCTTTTGAGGAGTGTACTTTTGAGGCGCCTCTTTTGAGGCGCCTCTTTTGAGGAGTCTACTTTTGAGGCGCCTCTTTTGAGGAGTCTACTTTTGAGGCGCCTCTTTTGAGGCGCCTCTTTTGAGGAGTCTACTTTTGAGGCGCCTCTTTTGAGGAGTGTACTTTTGAGGCGCCTCTTTTGAGGCGCCTCTTTTGAGGAGTCTACTTTTGAGGCGCCTCTTTTGAGGAGTCTACTTTTGAGGCGCCTCTTTTGAGGAGTGTACTTTTGAGGCGCCTCTTTTGAGGAGTGTACTTTTGAGGCGCCTCTTTTGAGGCGCCTCTTTTGAGGAGTCTACTTTTGAGGCGCGTCTTTTGAGGCGCGTCTTTTGAGGCGCGTCTTTTGAGGAGTGTACTGGTGAGGCGCGTCAAAAGGAGGATGTGGAACCAGATCCTTTGAAACGTGCCATCCAAAGGGTCCTTTGGCCGCGTCATTTTGTATTCCACGTCGCTGGACCATCCAACCCTTTCCTCTTCCCTCTACCACTCCCAACCTCCCTGTGTGTCCTCCGTCCTGCTCTCTTCGCTCCCCTTTGCGCGCCTCTTCCCTGCTGGCAGGGCAAAAGGGGCGCCCAGGCGGGGGGCGTGGGGGAGCAGGGATGGCCGGTGATGGGGGGAGTGAGGTGGAGGGGGTGTGCGGGGGACGGGGACTCATGCCACACTGCCTCGGGTGGGTTCCCTGTGCTGCGTGGGTGCTGGATGCTGGACGGTTGGGTGCTGGACGGTTGGGTGCTGGACGGTTGGGTGCTGGATGGTTGGGTGCTGGATGGTTGGGTGCTGGATGGTTGGGTGCTGGATGGTCGGGTGCTGGATGGTTGGGTGCTGGATGGTTGGGTGCTGGATGGTTGGGGGCTGGATGGTTGGGTGCTGGATGGTTGGGTGCTGGATGGTTGGGTGCTGGATGGTTGGGTGCTGGATGGTTGGGTGCTGGGTGCGTGGGTGCTGGGTGCGGGGGTGCTGGGTGGGGTGACTGCACACGATTCGCGAGGTGAATATTGAATCGACACACAAGCCACCACACTAGCACAGCACACTCCTCCCCGGTTGCTGAGAGTGAAGACCACTCTCACACATCACACCCCTGAGCACTCAATCTCCCGACCACAGTGTGTCTGCACCCATCCTCACACCATCACACCCCTGAGCCCTCAAATTCCCAACCACTGTGTTTCTGCACCCATCCTCACACCATCACACCCCTGAGCCCACCCAACCTGTCCATCTGAACTGAGTAAATGCACTCTCGCATCCCCATCCGTCCCTTCCCCACCCCCTCCTGTCTAACGGTATACATCTGTGCCGTGCATGCATCCAGCTAGTCCAGCAGCCGAGGACCGGGGCAAGGGGGAGGCGGAGGGGGAATATCTGATGGTGCAGCTCCGAGGGGGGCTTAACCAGATGCGCGCAGGGGTGAGTGGGGCAGCAGAAACAGCCCCCACTGCCCTATCTGCTTCCCCCCACTGCCCTATCTGCTTCCCCCCACTGCCCTATCTGCTTCCCCCCACTGCCCTATCTGCTTCCCCTCACGGCCCTATCCGCTTCCCCTCACGGCCCTATCTTCTTCCCCCGACTCCCTGTTTCCGAGTGACCTCCTTTCCATCTTTTACATTTGCAGTGACCTCTGTTCCAACGAAGCTGCTGCAGCCGCCATCGTTTATCTCCCCAGCCCGTCCTCCTTTCTGCCCTTCCCCCTCTCTTCATCTCCCCCGTGGTGGTGGCGAGGATGCAGGCGCCATCCCCCCTTCATCTTCCCACCCCGTCCTACCCCCGTGCCTTCCCCACCCCGCATCCTCGCCTGTGTGCTGGCAGATCTGCGATGCAGTGGTGGTGGCGAACATGCTCGGGGCGACCCTGGTGCTGCCGCTGCTTGATAACTCCTCCTGGTGGGCCGACGGCAGGTGAGGCACACGCTGGGGGGTGATGGCATGATGGGAGGTGATGGCATGATGGGAGGTGATGGCATGATGGGAGGTGGGTGATGGCATGATGGGAGGTGATGGCATGATGGGAGGTGATGGCATGATGGGAGGTGATGGCATGATGGGAGGTGAGGCACTTACTGGGGAAAGAAGGCATGATGGCATGCTGTCTGCTTGATTACTCCTCTTGGTGGGGCTAATGGCAGGTGCGGGACATCCTGGGGAGTGATGTGATGGAATGATGGCAGTGAGACACTCACTGGGGCGAGACACTCACTGGGGTGAGACACTAAAAAACACACCTTTCCATCCAATCACCCCCCCAACCCCCCCCACGAGCAGCACCTTCTCCGATGTCTTTGACGCGCCTCACTTCATCCGCACCCTCGCCCCCTCAGTGCGCGTGGTGCCACGCCTACCTGCCACGCTCAGAGACCTGCCCCCTGTCGTGCGCACCGTGCCCAAAGCCTCCTCGCCGGCCTATTACCTGAAGCATGTGCGCCCACTTATCAGGTGCGTGGCCTCAAACGCCTTCATTTGACCCCTCATCAGGTGGGTGGGGGGCTGTTGGGTCGCCTCAAATCGTTCCAGTGCGGGTAGTGCCACGCCTACCTGCCACGCTCAGGACCTGCCCCCTGTCGTGCGCACCGTGCCCAAAGCCTCCTCGCCAGACTACTACCTCAAGCACGTGCGCCTGCTCATCAGGTAGGTGGGGTGGGGAACTGTTGGGTTTTCCCTCGGTCCGTGTGGTGCGCTCAGGGACTTGCCTCCAGTGGTGCGCACGGTCCCCAAAGCCTCGTGTCCGGACTACTACACCAAGCCTCGTGTCCGGACTACTACACCAAGCCTCGTGTCCGGACTACTACACCAAGCCTCGTGTCCGGACTCTCATCAGGTGGGTGGGTGGCTGTCAGGTTGCCTTAAACCTCCTCAGTGAGGGTGGTGTCACACCCGCCCACTGCGCTCAGAGACCTGCCTCCAGTGGAGCGCATGGTGCCCAAGGCCTCCTCGCCGGACGTGCCTGTAGGGACCTACAGGAAGCACGCACAGTCCCTCATCAGGTGTGTGGGAAGCCACTCGCCGCCTTAAGTGACTGCTGTACGACTGGTATCCCACCTTTCCTTTGTTAACCTGCCTCCAGTGCTGCGCACGGTGCCCAAAACCTCCTCACCAGGCTATCACCTGAAGCACGTGCGCCCCCTCATCAGGTGGGTGGGGGGCTATTGGGTTGTCATCTCTTTTCAGAAGGCTTCCGACTCTCTTATCAGGTGTGGGAAGGAGGGGTCTGTCATCAGGTGAGGAGGGGGGGGCGGGCTCCAATCTTATTACATATCCCCAGTGCTGCACTGCCACTGTCCCTGCCAACTTCCCCCCCCGCTGCCCACTCCTCCCTTCTCTCCCCGCCACGGCCTTCCTCCCCGCATACTGTCCTCTCTCGTTGAACCCACCACAGGAGGGCGCAGGTACTGACGCTGAACCACTTCAAGTTCAAGCTCAACTACAGCCTGCCTGCACCCCTGCAGACGGTAAGAAAAGCATCAACCGTAACCAGGGGCTCGCAGGCACTCACAATAACCCGCAAGGCACATGGCGATCTGAGATCCTCTAGAGTTCACACACTGCTTGAGTTCACACACTGCTAGAGTTCACACACTGCTAGAGTTCACACACTGCTAGAGTTCACACACTGCTAGAGTTCACACACTGCTAGAGTTCACACACTGCTAGAGTTCACACACTGCTTGAGTTCACACACTGCTTGAGTTCACACGATGTGTAACACACACCAGCTGTGCTGACGACTTTGATGCGTTGATCCATGGGACACTCAAAATACTCGTGTCCTGTCTCCTCTCTGCCATCCCCTTTGGGCCCCTGCATGAACTTCACTGTTGGTCAAACTACAAGGCGCTTTGAGTAATCTTACAAGGGAGCAAACTTGCTTCTCCTCCCCCATCGCATGATGTGCTCCTTCTCCTGCCGTTCTACCTCCCCATCTCTGCCGTCCCTCCTTGTCCCCATCAGCTGCGCTGTCAAGCCAACTACGAGCCACTGCGCTGTCAAGCCAACTACGAGCCACTGCGCTTTGTACCGACAGTCACTCGAGCCGTCGCCCTTCTCTCCCCCCCAGCCATTTCCCTTTATCCCTCCCCCCCCTCTTCTTCCCCCCTTTTCCCTCCAACCAGCTGCGATGTAAAGCCAACTACGAGGCACTTCGTTTCGTACCGGCAGTCACTCGAGCCATCGCCCGTCTCACCCGCGCCCTCACCCACCCCTCCCCCCTCGCCGCCTCCGCTTCCATTTCCCCTGGCTCTTCTGCTGCTGCTCCTGCTAGTGCTTCCTCTCCTGCGTCTGCTGCTGGTTCTGCTGGTGCCACTGGTTCTGCTGGCGCTGCTGCTGCTGTGACAAGTTGCGGTGGTGAAGGGGCAGGGCATGGGCCACAAGTGAAGAAAGAGCAGAGAGATGAGAGGGAGGTGGGGATGCTGACGGAGGGGAGTGGGGAGGCAGTCAAGTATGTGGCGCTGCATCTCAGGTGAGATGAGCATGGGAGGTGAGATGAGCATGGGAGGTGAGATGAGCATGGGAGGTGGGATGAGCATGGGAGGTGAGATGAGCATGGGAGGTGAGATGAGCATGGGAGGTGAGATGAGCATGGGAGGTGGGATGAGCATGGGAGGTGAGACGAGCATGGGAGGTGAGACGAGCATGGGAGGTGAGATGAGCATGGGAGGAGAGATCAGCATGGGAGGTGAGATGAGCATGGGAGGTGAGATGAGCATGGGAGGTGAGATGAGCATGGGAGGTGAGATGAGCATGGGAGGTGAGATGAGCATGGGAGGTGAGATGAGCATGGGAGGAGAGATGAGCATGGGAGGAGAGATGAGCATGGGAGGAGAGATGAGCATGGGAGGTGAGACGAGCATGCTAATCTTTGTGATTCACGTATATTACGGAAGTTGTTGTTGCCGCTGTATTTTATAGCTGCTGTGCCTTATTGCCGCCTTGTTTTACACATATCCACCACAATTCCCTTTCCATGCATTCATATCTCTGGATGACATCCCATGCACTTTTCTCTCTCCATGCCATGCCATGCGTAGCCCTCCTTTTCCATGCCAGCCCATGCATTACCCTTACCCTCCAGACACCCGCCACGTGGCATGCGAGTGCAGGTATGAGCCTGACATGCTGGCATTCACTCCATGATCATACCTTACCCCCCATCCTCTCTCTGCATTCCACGAGTGCAGGTACGAGCCTGACATGCTGGCGTTTACAGGGTGTGACTACGGCGGAGGGGGGAAGGAGAGGAGGCTGTTTGAGAGGATCCGAAAGAGGTGGCCGGAGCTGCCCAGACAGAACCCCAAGCAGCAGAGGGCCAAGGGCAAGTGCCTTGTCACTCCCTCGCAGGTGCGTTTCGGGTTACAATTAAAAGGTGGGCGAGAGGAGGCTGCTTGAGAGGATCAGAAAGAGGTGGCCGGAGCTGCCCCGCTTGAACCCCAAGCAGCAGAGGGACAAGGGCAAGTGCCTTGTCAGCCCCTCGCAGGCTAGTGTATGGACCATCCAGGCCAGGCAGTGCAGGCTAGTGTATGGACCATCCAGGCCAGGCAGTGTCAAAATCTTATCTTCCCCACCCTGCTCCTCCTACTCTTAACCTTCCCATCTGCTTGTATGCAGATAATCCCCTTTCAAGCCCGCCTTGCCTCCCCCCCCCCCCCCCACCCAATCCCCCATACGTCCCCACTGCCCACTCCATCCCACCTCACCCCACCCCTTTTTCCCCCCTCACCCTCCCTCACCTTGTTCCCCAGGTGGCAGTGGCTCTACAGGCGCTGGGCTTCCCCCCTGCCGCGTGCCTGTAAATCTTTTGAGGAGCCTCACATTCCCGCCTCTATCCCCTCCGCCCCCCCTTTTCCTTCCTCCCCGCCTCCCCCTTCGCCACTGACAAGCACTCCCCTGCTCCCTCCCTCTCTTCCATTGCTCCTTATTGTTCCTGCAGGTGGCAGTGGCCCTAAAAACGTTAGGCTTCCCCCCATCTACCCGCCTGTACATCGCCTCGGGTGAGCTCCACGGGGGGTCCTCTGCGCTGCAACCTCTCCTCAAGGCCTTCCCCTTTGCCACTGACAAATACTCCCTCGCTCATTCCCTCGCTCCTGCTAGGGGGAAGGAGGGCAGGGTGGCCGACAGGGATGTGTCAAGTAGTGCAGGGGGAGAGAGTGGAGCCGCGAAGGGTGCAGCTGTAGAGTGGGGAAGGGGGGGCGATGGGGGAGGGGGAGTGGGGCGAGGGGTATTGGAGGGGCTGCAAGGGAGGAAGACGCTCCTAGCGGCGGTGGACTATGAGATGTGCCGGCGAGGGCACATGCTGGTGCTGAACAACAATGGCAACATGGCTCACTTGCTCTCTGGACATAGAAGGTGCGGTGCAGAACGGTGGGGAGGGCAACGGTATTAGGGAGGCAGGGGCACATGATGGTGCTCAAAAACAATGGCAACATGGCTCACCTGCTCTCCGGGCACAGAAGGTGTGGCTTAGAACGGTGTAGAGTGGTGGGCTATAGGGCAATGGTTGTTGAGTGATGGGGGGAAGGGGTAATGCTTCTAGCAGCGGTCGACTATGAGATGTGCCGGCGAGGGCACATGCTGGTGCTGAACAACAATGGCAACATGGCGCACCTGCTCGCTGGGCATAGAAGGTGCGGCTTAGAGTGGTGGGCAATGGTGTTGAGGAAGGTGGCTAGAGATGCTCATCCTCAACAATAATGGCAACATGGCGTACCTGCTTTCGGGCCACAGAAGGTGCGGATTCGTATGGGTGCTGAGGGGTTGGGACAGGTGGGAAATGAGGGGGGTGGGAGATGTGGGTACATACTGGTGCTCAACAACAATGGCAACATGGCTCACCTGCTCGCCGGGCACAGAAAGTGCGGTTTAGAGTGGTGAGCTACGGTTTATAGAGGGTGAGAGGGGGGGGCAGGCATATGCTGGTGCTCAACAACAATGGCAACATGGCTCACGTGCTCGCGGGGCACAGAAGGCGTGGTTTGGAACAGTGGGCAATGGTGTTGAGCAGTTGGGATGGGTGGGGTGGGTAATGGAGTTGAGGGAGGCGGGGGCAGATGCTGGTGCTCAACAGAAAGCCCATCAGTTGGCTGCGAGCACCACATCTTTGCCTCATCAGAAACACCCCCGCCCATTCAATCGCCCTCCTCAACCCCCATATCTCCACCTTAACATCAGGTATGACGGCATGGTTAGCACGGTGCAGCTGTTTGGCTCCTCCATCCTGCGCCTCCTCGCTGCCATCCAGCAAGGCGATGTGAAGAGCTCTCCTATATCCGTGTCCTTCTAATATCCAGTCCAACACCCATCTCCCAATTCCCACCCTCCAGGTACGACGGGGTGGGAAACACGGTGCAGCTGTTTGGTTCCTCTATCCTCCGCCTCCTCGCTGCCATCCAGCAAGGCGATGCCAAGAGCGCTCACAAGCTGCGCAACCAGACGCTCAGGGGAGACGACAGCAACGGGAAGGCCGCAGTAAGAGGAAGCTTCTATTCGTTTCCCCGGGAGTGCTTGTGTGAGAGATCGGATCATGTGCCTGCTGGTATTTATTCATGAGGCCGTGTTTGTGTTGGTCAAAGCAGAGGGGAATGGTGCAAAGGCAGAATGACTGGCCAGATGCGGATGTGTATTATAAGACCGAACGCTTCGGAAAAGTCCTGATTTCCTGTATATGTATGAAACCAATTGATCACTTGGATTGGAAACATGTACAGTATGTACAATAAAACACATACCTATAATGTACCATTACCGTTGCAGTGGCCCGAGTTGGTGGAGCTATTATTACAAGTCCCGGGTGCAGATTTATGTTAGTTAGGCACATATCTATCGTGACCAGAATCTTGGGAGAACATCATCCAAGCTGAATATGTATCCTAAGTGTGTGTGGTGTAAGTGGATCTGGTACCAGGTTAAATTGAAACACTGCATCAAGTTCAGAAATGAACATTTCAGAATATCATTAAAGCTGAACATACTGGTACCCTATAACCGTACCATATCTAGGACTATCTCTAACCAGCCACACCAGCCTCAACCCTTGAACAAGCGGACAGATTAGAGCTAACACGAAGCAATGCAGCAGCAAGGCAGCGTGCACCCATCTCCTTCCATCCACCAAATCCAACCAGCATCCCAAACACCCTGACAGGCAGGGTGCAAAAAGTGTTGCTCCTCCGTTCTCTCCCACTCTCCTTGCCTCACCCCACCGTCGCGCCACACCAGCTGCATTTCCCCCTGCTGCTGCCCCCTTCCCTCCACAATAACCCTCGCCTCCCTCTCCTCCACCCATCACGCTCACCACCACCTCCCACTCCTGCTCTTCCCCGCGCTGCTCCCCCCGCTGCCCCCGAAGGTGGGGTGGTTGCACACGTGCGCCATGGTGACCCTCTCCTCCGCGCGCACTCTCAGCATGCCGCTCACCAGCGCGCGGCATTCCTCAGACACGCCCTCCCACGCAGCCCCATCCACACGCGCCCGCCACTCCTGCTGAGGCGCCTCCCCTGAGTACGGTCGCTCGCCCGCAATCATCTCGTACAGCGTCACCCCCAGCGACCACACGTCAGCTGCGCGCCCATACCCCGCTGCCTCTGCGCTTCCTGCCTCTGCTCTCCCCGCTGCTTTTCTGGCGTGCTTGGCGGGCGGGCAGCGAGGGCGGCAGAGAGCCTCCACCTCAGGTGCCATGTACCCGGGCGTGCCTGCGGGAGTGCTGCACCCGCGCTGCCCCTCCGCTACCACCTGCGCCAACCCAAAGTCCGCCAGCCGCACTGCCCCGGCGGCCAGGCGGGGGGAGGTGCGCGCTGAGGAGACGGGCGCGGACAGGCTGAGGGCTGCAGGAGAGGCGCGCGCAGGCGCAGCAGGAGCAGCAGGAGCAGCGGCGGCGGAGAAAGGCAGGGGCGCGGAGAGGGGCGTGGGCGATGTGAAGAGGATGTTGTCGGGCTTGATGTCGCAGTGCACCACGCCTCGCTCGTGGCAGAACGCCACGGCGTCGCCCACGTGCTTCACCACTTCCAGCGCCTCCGCCTCCGCCATCCCCCCTCCCCGCCCGCCTTCCCCGCTCGCCTTCCCCCACCACTGCCTCCCCTTGCCTCTCCCCGCGTCCCCCGTGCTGTTGCTTGCGGCAGCCTTGCGTCGCTGCAGCAGGGCGCGGAGGTCGCCGCCATGGCACACATCGGAGAGCATGTACGCGTGCTGGTCGGCCAGATGCACCTCGCGCACGCCCAACACACCCGGGCACTCGCTCAGCGACGCCGACAGCATCGCCTCGTTCGACGCCGCCACCAGCTGCTTGCGCTCCACGCGCTTCACCGCAACCACCTCGCCGCTCTCCACGTGCCGCATCGCCATCACCGTGCCGAACCCGCCGCGCCCTAACTCGCTGGAAATTGTCAGGTAGGAAAGGGCGGTTGAGAAGACGAGTGCGACTAAGCTTCCCCTCATGAAAAGGTCGGTTGCTCACCTTCCAACTTAATATCGTGTTCCTGCGCTTCGGTTCGGCCTTCGCTGATCGATTTCGCCAACGACTTGCATGAGAAGGCGGTACTGTAAACCGACGGCTGGGCCATCCAGATGTCCATGGCGAGGAGCGTAAGTAAGCGATTGATAGCTACTGGTAACGAATCTCGCACTGTTTCAGAGAATGATACTTGTAAGGCTCTCGAAGTCTATTTGAGACTGTGAGATGGTCACAACAAGGAAGCAGAAGCAAAAAAATTCGAGGAGGTTGTGTTGTTTGCTGTGCACTGAGCTAAGAAGTGGCATCAAATGGCTGGACTTGTATTGCAGGCAAACAGCCTGCACAAGAGAGCATGGAAAATGGACCTGGGGGAGTGAGGTGGATGGGAGAGCGGCTCGACTGCTGGCGATGACATCGCTGCAGGAGCAAAAGTCGCCCGAGCAAAAATCACGCGGCCAACTTCATTGATACTCAGATTATGCCTGAAGCGGTTTGCAAACGTAATCAACCAACAATTTCGCAGTACAGTAACTAAACATACTGTTTCAAATATTTATTAGCACAATCCTGAAACAATGTCGCCACCGGCAGCTCCGCACATACCCGACAAAAAAGGAAACATACTAAAACGCTTGGATAACCAGGACGGAATTCGGAAATATTAACCCTAAATACGGGAAGTCGTCAAGTATTTATGATTATCTGCTTGAATAAACGACACCGCCCAACGGAGCCTGCTACCCGCAAACAATAAAAATAACCCTCCTGCTAAAAGGAATCCAGTCACGATGGCATTAACCCTAAACACCTTGTCGCATGATGTTTAGAATTGATGTCATCCGAGGGGGTTTTAATCTTCTTTCTTACGAGGTCAAGAGGTCCACGGTCAATGGAGGGTTAATGGTGCCATCAACCCTAATCCGTTGATTTATCCCGAGTCTGCATTCTTTTTCCCAATGGGTGTTTTTTATCTTTGCGCAATTCGCGCTTGATGCAATTTTTAATGGGTTAAGTATTCAATGTTTTTTTGTTTTTTTCTTAGGTAGCACCTCGATACATTTGTGCACATTTGAGTTCGGTAATTGCGTTCTGTTTCTGTTAAATCTCAGCGGTGTTATTAGCATGAAAAGTGTGATTGAAAAGAGAGCACCAATCAGCGAGGATAAATTGAGATTGAGTACGGAAGCAAAAAGTCTCTGGCATAATTTGAGTATCAATGAAGTTAGCAGAAAATCACGGAAACATACCACTTTGAAGTATGCCCGAACCTATCAAGGCTCGTCACGAACCAAGCCTCACCACAAGATGTGCTTCGCCAAAATTTCGCCTACCATTTCGCTAGGCTGGTCAGGGCGAGAATCGAGCTATGCCAAGTTCAGGCTTCAAGCGTGATTGGTTCCAAACTTCTTGCCGAACCTCAATTAGGAGTTTTCCGAACCTAGAACTCACCCGTTGACTCCGTTGTCCACAAGTCAGGTTTGGCGGGAAGACCAAAACACCGACCCGATAGAATCGCGCGGTTCGCGAAACGCCTTCACAACAAAAACTCTACACCTGTTACACATAAGCATGACATTTTCAATAACAAGCATAAGCTCACCTACCTTGAGCAGAATGATAGCATTTGAAGAATTGAAACACACATATTTTCTTGCATTTCGATATTTAATTGTAACATCCTTTACAACATACAGCACGAATGATTCGACTGATAATAAGCCTTTCAGATATGTTTCAGCTCAGAGCAACAATTTTTTAAAAGGTCTCCTCAGTATCATCCAGTTGATGTCCAGCTGTTCATGTGGATTGGGACAGCGAGAACCAGGGCTGACGTTTCGTTTTAGGACTCCCTGATTCCGGTAAAAAAATTGCCCCTCTATTATGAGGGCACATTTTTCGCAAGGTAGCTACCCTGATAGCTCTGTGTCACACGAAGTCCAACTCTGACCGGACAGGGTTCACAGCGCAAAAACAGGGTTGCTATTAACAGTGCACTATTTTCCAAAATGATACAACTGCATGCACTTTCCTACTCTATCTAGTCTAGTGCACGGGCTTGTCTATGAAGTACACCTCCTCCACATCCTCATCGTCCAATAGGAATGGATGGTCTTCCGCTTCCTCCTCCCCCACGATCTCCTGATCGTCGCCGAAGGCCTGTTCCACTTCATCGTCGTCCTCCTCCTCCCCCTCATCCTCGTTCTCCCCGGCATTTCCAGCAGCCACATCTTCACCCTCCTTCTGCTTCCCCTTCCTCTCCCTCTCTGCTACAGCCAGCTTCAAGCTCTTCGCAGGGCGCCTCCTCCGCAGGGACCTCCACACCTCCAGTGCCTCCGGCCAGTCGATCTCATACTTGAGGAGCGATATCTGCATCAGCTCCCCCAGACGCGCGTTGCACAGCGCTCCTCGCACCCAGGACTTGATGACGTTCTGCCTGGAGAACCCCCTCTCGCACTCCACGGTGGAGAGGGGGAGCACAGCCAGCGCCTGCCACAGCAGGATGAGGTTGGGCCATCTCCTGCCAGGCACATTCGTACACACAACACAACGGAAACAGTTAGCGATGCGCAACAAGACTATAAAACCCATGTTAGCAAAGTATAGGCTACCTCTTGGAGTCTGCGCTCCCAAGGAAGTTGGACAGGCCCTGGGTGAAGCTCTCCATATCATGGTGTGTCTCCATGATCGTGCGGAAGGCTGGAAGCTCCCTCTCTGCTGCTTTGAGGTCGAATCCCGGCAGCTTGTTGCGGAACAGCCTACTGCATCCATTCAGCCACTCCTTAAACTTCTTCTCTTGCTGGGCCTTGATCTTCGGCCACTTCCCCGCCCGGAAT